GTATGTGTCATTTACACATTTTCTATTTTTCCATAATGTGTGGTGATAGCTTGTTCATTTTATTTATTAAGTAAAAGAATTGATATCATTTGGAAACCACATAATGACAGTTATTAAAACTAGTACATTAAAGATGAAGGTGCACTGCCCCCTGGATGACTTAAGAGAATGATTTTGAGGAATTAACTGAAGTTAGATACAGGCAGTCCTATACTACTAGAAGAAAGACCAGGATTTTAGTATTTACCTCTGTTGTTCCTCTGGAACACTTGATAGCATCTGGGCATATCCATCTTTCTGAATCCAGTTCCTTTTTTTTTTTTTCAATCTCCAATCGTAACTTTTATTAAATGAAATTAACTCATCACAGAATTGTAAAGCCAGTCATTTTACTACACACCCTAGGGGCATTTAGGAAAAAAAAATTTCTGGCTGTAGGTGTTTGGGGGTTTGCTACAATTATTCATTGTGCGAGTTTTGCTCTCCATTGATTGATCTCCCACAGCTAGCAATAACTTGGCACATGGTTGACTATTTAAGTATTAGTTGAGTGGAAGAAAAAAGACTGGTTGAGGTTCCATGTCTCTCAGATAGGCACTATCACAGTAATGCCAGCTTCTTCAAAGGTTTGCTTTTGGGGATTTGACGAGTTTTTGTTAACTAGAGTAGCATTTTGATGGAAATAGAACTTTTCTTCAGATCTGTTATTTATAGAATGCTATCAATTTATTGACTAGATTTATTGGTATACTTAATTACATAATATTTTATGAATGCTTTAAATGGCAAGGTGAACTGCTATTTTAAGAATTAATAGCCTCTAAGAAACAGAGGAACTAATTCATTGTAAAGCCTTAGTGCGCGTGCATGTGTGCGTGCACACACACACAAACACACTCATTTGGAAAATTGATGTAAGTTTTCTGAACTTCCCCTAACTCTGCAACAAATCTCATTTTATAATGGAACTTGTCTACACAGTTTCTTCAACAGTTCAACTTACAGAGTCTGAGTTCACAACATGTAAAGATAGTGTACAGGAGTATTAATGAAGGATAATTGTTCCAGATTTTGAAAATGATTGGTAAGTGAAAGTAAAAAAAGAAAGCAGACATTTATCCGTCTCCTTCTATACAGATTATGTCCCAGGATTATAGAGTTGTAAGATATCTTTAGAGGAATCGCAGCTATCAGAAATGCTACAAAATGACAGGCCTCGTGGATTAATCATCAGTGACTCTGAAGATACTATGGAAAGACTGGTTGTGAAACGTGGGAAATGCATTGGCTAAAGCAGAATCCATAAACCTTTTTAACTGGTGAGAGTCAGGCACTCTGGCTAGGAGACAAAAGTCAACCCTGACAAGTAAATAGTAGGAGTTGGGCTGGGAAGGAAGTCGGCACTGAACAGCTGTGTACGGATGAGTGGAGGGGATACACTACAAATCGGTAGTGAGGACTGTGGAAAAGGCGCTCTCCTCATTTTCTTTCCCCTCCTACCCTGAAGCAGGGTTATGGTTTCATTGCCATGGTAGCATATACATTCATCATAAAGGTGAAGGAAAGTGTCTCTGGCCTGAAGAAGTGGGAAAGCTCCTTGGAAGCTGGACCATGATTTGGAAATCCTGAGAAAAGACAACTCTTTTTTTAGTCTTTTTAATGGCAAGTAATGGCTTCCTCTGAACCTGTGGAGTGACAAGGCTCAAACTGCACAAAGATCTCTGCAGCCGCTAAGGAGCAATTACGTGAGGAGCACGCCGATGTGTCCACACACACTACTCCAGGAGCAGAGAGCAGGGAGCACAACATGAACCTACATGGAGAAGATACAGCCTGCAGATCTCTACTATGCATCTCAAGTTCTCGCTTTCCATTCAATCTCCATTGAGCTGAGCCCACACAGTGAATTTATACTTCACATATTAATTTTTCAATTCTGAAATTTGACTTGATTCATGTTCTGATTTTCAGGAAAAATTTTCAAATATCAGAAGCAAATCCTGTACCCTATTTTTCCATTCACATCAAGTGCTTAGTTTTAACTCAAGGCTTGTTTAAGGACTTTCTTATAATTCTATTTTCTGGCTCCTCTCATGGTTTCCTTAAGAAATGTAGGTTCATGTTGTGCTCCCTGCTCTCTGCTCCTGGAGTAGTGTGTGTGGACACATCGGCGTGCTCCTCACGTAATTGCTCCTTAGCGGCTGCAGAGATCTTTGTGCAGTTTGAGCCTTGTCACTCCACAGGTTCAGAGGAAGCCATTACTTGCCATTAAAAAGACTAAAGACAAATATGTAGAGTAATTATTGGAGTGAAGAGAAAATATTATGGCTCTTATTTTCTAAATAATCTGCAGTTTGGATGCTCACCTTACTAAACCTGGATGGAGGTGGGCGGTCCTTGGACTTCCCACAGGTCAGGGAACCCTGATTGCTCTTCTAGCGGAGGAGGGAGAGGGACTTGATGGGGGAGGGGGAGGGAAATGAGAGGCGGTGGTGGGGAGGAGGCAGAAATCCTTAATAAATAAATAAATTAAAAAAAATAAACTGCTTATCTGCTTAACTGAAAAAAAAATAAAAAGACTAAAGACAAATATGTAATTATTAGAGTGAAGAGAAAATATTATGGCTCTTATTTTCTAAATAATCTGTGGTTCAGAATGTTTACTTAAACTAGTCAGATGGCTGTGAATTTGCTTGGCCTACTTGGTTGTACAAAAGTGATTTGGCACTTAGCACAAGTTTTAATAAATCAGGGTAACTCATTTTAGTGAAGTGATTATGCTGAAAAATATTTAGAGGACTTTTCAAGCCTTGAAAAAGGGTTTATTTACTGTGGGTGATGTTTTAAGTATAGCCTCGTTGATGGGATGGATATAAACATAATGGATATGTTGGAGTTAACTGCTGTGGGAGGAGGATAGATGGTGTGTTGTTTTCACTGGCGACATGGAGTTGTATATGTGTGTGTTTCTTATCAGACTTCCATAAGAGCATGTTCATGCAAGTGTGTAATGTACCTTGAACAAGTGTGTGTGTGTGCCTGTGTGTCTAAGCCTTGTGCTTTAGTAGTAATGCTGCGCAGATCAGATTTCCTAGCAGACCTCCTGAAGATTTGTGCACTGATGAAAGACTGGCCTTCTTTTAGGTTGGTACAGTTTTTTCTCTTTCATCTTTGGTGACCCATTTAAGAAGTCCACAAACATTTGGCTTTTTAAGTTAATGGACTCTTACAAAATTTGTGGATTAGTTAAATTTGGGTATCTGTTTCACACTTAAATCACATCATATCTTTTTAATGTGCATTTAGAAATTAATGTCATTTTTTAAAAAATACGACATAACAGTAAAGTAGTTTTTTTAGAAGAGAAAAATAGGTTCTCATATTTATTTGGACACTATACAAACAGGAGACTTAGGTAAAATTTGTAGAGATGTATTTGTTGAATTGTTGAAATGGCCATATGTTTTATTAAGAGAACTTACTACAGGAAGTATCTGTGGTACCGCCACAAGGCTTGATTCATAAACCTGGTTTGGGGTGCGGTTTTAAAGAATATTTCTTGAGTTTTGTATCATACCAACTAAACTTTAGCTCTACTTTTGATTAATGTTTGTATCAGGAAACAAAATTTGTGGTATCAACAAAATTCTAAAGTAGGTCATGAATCAACACGTTATTAGATTATAAACAAGTTATAGTTTTAATTTATAAATTATAGAAAATTTATAATTTTAGTTTTTACCTTAAGGTTTTGAGTTGTCCTTTGATAATGATAATTAGCAATAATTAAATCAAGTTAAAAGAATTTCCCTCCTTTGAGTGATGTAAATACATAGGAAAATAATTTTTTGCTCATGTGTTTGTTTTTTGGAATAAATAACATGTATTTTATCTTCCTTCTTACATGTAGGTCGAGCTATAGTATTAGACACCAAATTCATAAAAAGATAAAAAGAATACTTCAGCTTTCTAATTCGAAAAAGAATGTGTTTTCATGAAGGATATTTTAGAATATACAAAAGAAAATGTGAAGACCATTGTCCATAAAGCATCTCAGAAGCCATCATATGCTGTAGCTTTGATTTTGTTTTGGTCCCACTCTAAGTACAATTGGACATACAATTTTTTCTAGCTTTACTGTTGTATGAAGGCCACTTGTTTGTTCTTGGCTGACCAGAACCAAAATAATCGCACAGAACTATATTAATTAAATCACTGCTTGGCCTATTAACTTATGCATATTTCTAACTCACTTTTACTTCTTAAATTAACCCATTTCTATTATTTTATATTTTACCCAGAGGTTCATGGCTAACAGCAAGGTTCCACCTTACAGCTTGCGTCTTTCTCCTCTGGTGGTTTCATGGCATCTCCCGACTCAGCCTTCAGCATTCAGCATTCAGTTTTCCTCACCTACCTCTGTTCTGCCCCACTATAGGCCCAAAGCAGCTTCTTTATTCATTAACCGATAAAAACAACACATAGAAAGACCTCCCACAGCACTTTAGTTTAAGTAATATTTTGGTGATTATAAAACTTATGGTGCTTCTGGTTGTCTGTTTCCCAAAGTGAAATTATCGGGTCAAAGGATCTGTATATTCTCAGATTTTTTATGTGCCTGGGTCCCTCCTCCCCCTTTAAAAGTCAGGGTCTGGTGTAACCCAGGCTAGCCTTGAACTTAGTATGTAGCTGAGGGAGGATGCCTTTTATTACTTTTAACCCTCCTGCCTTCACTTCCTGAGTGAGTGTTAGAATTACAAACATGCACTATCATGCTTGGCTTATTTGGTGTGTTATCAAACTAGGGCTCCATGCTTTATAGGCAAGTGCTAGCAACTGAGCCACGGGCTTTCCTTTAAGAAGAGCAAATTCCTGGCTGAGGCTGTAACTCAGTTACTAGAGTGCTTAGTGAGTAAGCAAGTAAGCATGACAGCCAGAACTTGAGGCAGCTGGTCCCATTGAAAGCTCTTTGCTCAACTACCTGTTTCTTTTGCATGCAGTTCAGGACCCCAGCCCAGGGGATGATGCTGCTCACATCATAGTGGGTCTTGGCACCTCAGTCACCCAAATCTCGAGAATCCCTCACAGGAACATCCGGACTTCCTGGGTGAGTCTATATCCTGTGAAAAAAATAATTCGCGCTATCCATCATGGACATAGGACTTTCTCTGTACTTCTGTTTCTCCTTTGAATTTTTGTTAAGAAGGTCGTGCTGTCTTTGTGGAATCACTTTGTAATATCACTGAAGTTCTTTGGAAGAGTTTGAGGAGAAAAGGTGTTAACTCAGTCATGGTTTGATAGAACCAGTGAAGCCAGTTTGGTTTTTCTTTGTGAGTAGTTTTTGGTTATCGGGTCAGTATATTTATCTGTTTAGATTCCTTTCATCTTTAAATCTTGATAGGTAGTATGTGTGTAGGAGTTTATCCAGTTTTTTGTCTGGTTTGTAGTGGTTATGGTAATGTCTTACAGTACTGTGTCTGTGGCTTCAGTTCAATTGTCTCCTATTTCTGATTTGCTCTATCTGAATCTACTTCATAGAATGGACATAAATTCATTTGATTTTTTTTTAAGACTTAGCTTTGTTGATTTTGGAGGTGGGTCTTATTTCTGGTTGATGTTTATTTCCTTCCTTCAGCAGACTACAGACTTGGTTATTTTTCTTTCTGGTTCTTTGAGGTTTCTTAATTTTCCTTTTTCAGAGCTTGATGTTGGACCCAAGACTGTGAGTGCATCAGGCAAGTGCCCTTCAGAGAGCTGCACTCTGGGTGTGGTAGTTTTTATTGTGGGTATTTAAGTACTGCTCTAAAATGTAAAAATTCCTTTACATTTTGATGTGCTTTTGTTTCTCTCAAAGTACTTGATCATTTCCTTCTTGATTTGGTCTTCAGCTCTTTGGTTATCTAGTAATGTATTGTTAAATTTGCACATTAGCAAAAATCTGTTTTTATTCTATTTTGGTTGGAAAGCATACTTCAGACTTAAATTTGTTAAAGCTTGTTTTATGATCTAACATGTGACTTGTTCTATAGACTTTTCAGTGTATTTGAAAAGAGTGTACATTCTGTGACTGTGAATTTGAAATATTTTTTGTGTATTTGGTCTGTAATGTAAGTTTGCTTTTATTTTTCATCAGGATGAACTGTCCATCATCAAAACCTTTAGTTTTGTTTCTCTCCACGCTGCTTGTTTTATTTGGATGCTTTCTTGGTGGGAGTGTATGTCGTAATTGCTGTAGCTTTTGAGTGAAGTGACACTTTCCTGTCATGTATAGTATTTATCTTTGTAAGTATGCCCCTGTGTGCCTGTTTTTGTTTGTCACTTCCCTATGTGGAATATTTCTCTCTGTCCTTTCAGTTCTAGCCCATATATACTTTTAAATCTAAAGTGAGGCTTAAGATATTACATGGTTGGATCTTAGCTATTTTGAATTCATTCAGCTATTCTCTGTGTCTCACTCTAGGACAGTTACTCGTACACTCTTAGGTTAGTGTAATCCCTTGTTTTACAGTTCGCTAGTGCTCTTCTTGCCGGTTTCATCTGCATTTATTTTGTTCTCTTTATGTTATTGTGCTTGCACTGTTTTCACATTTCTTTCTGTGTATCCATAGAAATATCTGTTATTGTCATGGATAGTAAATAAAATGTGACAGTCTCTTTAAGCTGAAAACTTGAGTTAGGCGCAGAAATTCAAGTCATTTACTCTTCCTCCTGTTTTACGTTACTGATATCACATCTTACATTTATTTATTTATATTATATGCCCATTAGGATTTTTGTGTAGTTTTTAAAAATATCTATAGTTCAATTTCTGTAGAGAATTAAAAGTGATTTATCTTACTTATAGATTTTTTCTGTCTTCTCTTTTATTTTATTAAAAAGAGATTTATTTCGTATAATATATTTTGAATCTGATTTTCCTCCTCTTAGATTCCCCATACCTTCCTATTGGAATCCACACCCTTTCTATTCACAGGCATCTAAATAATAATAATAATAACAACAACAACAATAATAGCAAAAACAAACAGAACAGGACAAACAAACAGAAGAAATTAATAGCCCAAGGGAAAAAAGTACAGCATACACATGAAGATGCAGAGACACATTTTTGTTCACACAAGAATTCCCTAAAAACACAAAACCAGAAGCCAGAACACACACACACATAAAGCCTTCTCAAAACCTTATGGGACAGAGACCCTTCAAAATGCTATCGAATTCCTTCTGTATTGGCCGTCTCCTGCTAGGCATGGGACTTGGCTTTATGTCCCCAGACTCCGTTGGAGAGAACTGTCATTTTCGAATGGTTATCAACTGAACCATAGCTTCTGGGTTTGGGGTGGGGGCTTCTGTACACTTCTCCTCTCCGCTCTGGCACCCCATCTGTTGAAGACTTGTGCAGACCCTGTGCCTGTTGCCATGGCCTCCGTGAGGTTATATGTCCATCGGCCACTGTGTTTAAAAGGCCTTGTTTCCTTGGTGTTATTCATCCACTCTGCCTCGGACACTCTTTCCACCTCTTCCTCAGGGTTCCATGGAGACATTTCGTTTAGGACTGAGAATTCCAAAGTCTTTCGTTTTCTCTTCACATTGTCTGCCTATGGGTCTCTGTATTTCTTTTCATCTGCTGCAGCAGGAAACTTCTCTGATGATGGCCAAGCAAGGCACTGATCTCTGAGCATATGAGTGTATATGAGTAGAACATTGATAAAAGTCATTTTGTGGATATATTCCTTTAGAAAAAGAATAGTATTTGGTTTTCCCCTAGGCTCCTGGCCTTATTTGTAGTTTTAAAACTATTTTTTTATGGAATCAGTTTATAGAATTTCAATTTTATTGTTCATTTTTATAACAAAGTTCTAAATCTTCTATGTTTAAGAATTAGTTAAAATGTTTTTGTGTTAAAACTGTATATAAGTTGAATAGAGTTAACGTTTCTTTCTTGTTTAAATAGGGTTCTGATAGTCAGTCATACAGAGGAAGGCCTTGAGCACGTGGATTTTGGAGAATCCGTTCTAAAAGTGTAAAAAGTGCAAAAGGTAAAGGCATCTTATAGTGTTCTATTGTATTGATTTTTCCCTGAAAAAAATGTGTAAAAGGACTTAGAAATTACTTGGCATGCTCATTTGAGGAAAGCATTATTTAAAAAATTTTGCTTTTGTGCTAAGTCCAACTCATTTGGCAGACAGTAGTTACTGTTTATGTATTACTTTAATCAATGATTATGTGATGGTTAATAAGACTGCAGCTATCCCTGTCTCATAAAGATTGCATTTTAAAGAAAGACAAGCAGTAAACAAACCATTAGTGGTACCAAAAGAATTAAAATGGACAGTAGATTGGGGTGGCTTTAGTAGAGTTAGCCAGAGACAGCTGTGTTGAAAATGTGTTGTGAGTGAAATGGCAGGTGCTGAGCCATGTGTGGCTCTGAAAGAAAAAAAGAAATTACATTGGCAGGAGGAAAAGAATGACCGGGTGTTTAAAGAACAGAGTGTAAATGTGGCTGGTGTGTGCCCTAGGTACTGCAGAGCAGACATGAAGATCAGCCTGCAAAAAAGGAAATGAGGAGTAAAGCAGATGGCGAGAAAGCAGTCAGGTGTTCCGAGAACTCTGTTCTATTCTGGACACCCCGGAAGCCTATAGAAGAGTGTGGTGCTGGGGAGATGGCTCACTGGGCAGAGTGCTGGCTGTGCAAGCATGAGGGCTAGCCTGAGCTCACAACCCTAGCTCTCACATAAAAACAGACAAACAAACAAACAAAAAACTGTTGTGGCATTGTATACCTGTAAGCCCAGCACTTGTAGGTGGAGACAGGTGATTCTCCAGAACTCCCTGGCCAGATTAGCTAAATTGGTGAGCTTCAGGTTCAGTCAGTCTCTGTTTCAAAATGTTAGCTAGAGAACAATAGAAGAAAACATGGTATCAAACTCTGGTTTACACATGTACATGCCTTGCACTTACATGTGCATATACATAACATAACTACATAGTATACACCCACACAAACTACAGCTATGTCAAAAAGACATTGTGATACCAGATGTGGTAGCACATGCCTGTTTTGGAGGCAGGGAAAGGATCCAAAATTTGAGGCCAGCCTGGGTCCTGTGATAATTTGCCATGGGGCAGCGGGACGGGGTGGTGGTGGTGGGAGCGTCTATATTTAAGGCTTCGAAGTTGGAAATAATAGAGTAAGAAAATGTATTTAGGAATTATTGGCATAAAGAAGTGCTTGAGTGTTTTGCATTCAGTTACCTATGAAATGTATTCAGCCATGGTATGCACTCACTGATAGTTATTATAGGAAGTGTATTCAGCCATGGTATGCACTGATAGTTATCATAGGAAGTGTATTCAGCCCTAGTTCACACTGATAGTTATCATAGGAAGTGTATTCAGCTCTAGTTCACACTGATAGTTATCATAGGAAGTGTATTCAGCTCTAGTTCACACTGATAGTTATAGGAAGTGTATTCAGCTCTAGTTCACACTGATAGTTATCATAGGAAGTGTATTCAGCTCTAGTTCACACTGATAGTTATCATAAGAAGTGTATTCAGCCCTAGTTCACACTGATAGTTATCATAGGAAGTGTATTCAGCCCCAGTTCACACTGATAGTTATCATAGGAAGTGTATTCAGCCCTAGTTCACACAGATAGTTATCATAGGAAGTGTATTCAGCCCTAGTCCACACTGATAGTTATCATAGGAAGTATATTCAGCCCCAGTTCACACTGATAGTTATCATAGGAAATATATTCAGCCCTAGTACATGCTGATAGTTATCATAGGAGAAGCGATGTCATTAAAATGAATACAAAAGCTGAAAATGTTCTGCAGTAGAGAAGAAGAAATGATTAAGTCAGTACAGAAATGATGGCTACATCACATCCACCAAGGGATTGTCTAGAGAATCAAGGAAGCATTTAGCAATACAGTGTTTGTAAATACAGATAAGCGATCCAGTGGATGCTCCAGGAGTCCAACAGTAAGAGTGACAAGAAAGAGTGAGGACATCAAGACTGCAATGGCAAACAGCTCAGCTGAATTTCACGCCTTGAAATCTCCTTAAAGCCAGTGTGTTAGCTCCCTTGTCCCTGTGGTGCACTGCCCAGCGTAAGCTACTGTAAGACAGACTTCTTGATTATTATTTTGGATTCTGGGTTCAGTAGACCATGGTTATTTGCTTTTGGGTTTCTGGGCTCATTGTGAAGTTGACAATTAAGAGTAATTAATTGCACATTGCAGGAACATGAAGCAGAAGAGAAGGCAGGACACAGGAAGAGGTCAGGGCAAGACAACCTAGGATCTGGCTGCCATTGACCTACCTCTCCTCACAAAGCCTCACCTCCTGCCTTTTATGACCTGTCAATAATACCTTTGTATCATGAGTCAGTCAAAGCATCAATCTGCTCATTATGTTAGAACCCTTAGGATATATTTGACTCTAGAACTACCCTGGAGACACACCCAGAGATTTACTTCATTAATCCCTTAGATTAGTGGCTCTAAACCTGTGATCACAACCCTTTTGGTGGTCTAATGACTCTTTGACAGGGTACCTAAGACCATCGAAAAATGCCGATATTTACATTATGTTTTATAACTATCAAAATTACAGTTACGAAGTAGCAAAGAAAATAATTTTATTGTTGGGGTCACTATGAGGAACTATACTACAAGTTGCAGAATTAGGAAGGTTGAGATCCACTGTCTTAGATGTTTCTTAATCCAGTAAAGTTGACCAAGATTAACCAGTCACAGCTAAATACAGAAAAATAGTTTTGCAATTGATAGACATTCACAAGGACAGAGAGAATGGGAGAGAAAAAAAATGGACCTCGAGAAGCTAAAGGAAGTGTGGTAAGTTTCTTAAACTAGAAATGGAGATCTGAGGAACTTCTTGTCACCAGAGAGCCTCTGAAATCGCCATGAATTTCAAAGCTCTCTTTTATTTCTGGAAATGAAAGTGATGGTGGTATTAAACAGAGTAATTAGTTGCACATATACTGGAGAGATTTCTTTCTTCTGACTCTGAAATGTGTGTCGTTGCTCCTGATATTCCCAGAAGTCTGATTATTTAGTAAGTGTAAAATAAGTAAGAGCTAAATGGAAGGGTTGATAAATAAAAGCAATGTGTGAAGAGTAGAGAGAAAAGTTAAAAATTGAATAAACTGATTAAGCTGTCTTTTATCCTTCATATTCAAATAAGATTTCAAAAAAATCAAGAAAACAGAAAAAGTAAATAGGGAATGATGTAAGAAACCTGGCTTGAATGACATAAATTATAGCCTACCGAATGACTGTTACAGCTAGAAAAATAAGTAGAAAATGGGGTACATTACCATTAACTTTTAGAACAGAGGGTTGTTTTCAGGGTGAAAGAAGTCAGTCACATAAGAAAGGATTAATAATCAGAGCAGCATTGGACTTGTGATATCATTTCTCTTTTAACAAGCAAAAATTAAATTAAGTAAATAAAAAATGGTCACATCATGTGTTGGTCAGCGTTCGGTCACCTTGACAAAACACCCAAAATAAACACATTTTTAAAAGGAGGAAGGGTTAGCTTGGCTCATTGTTTCAGGGGGTTCAGTCTCCAGCCACTTGATGTCATTGCTTGTGGTGAGCCTGGACATCATGTGGTAAAGCTGCTCACTTTGTGGTACCCAGAAAAGATACTAGGGTACTGATAACTTCATTCCTTCAACATTTTACCTTCTGACATAGCTAGGAACTAAGCGTTCATCATGTGTCATTTGAGATCAAACCATGTCACCTAGGGTGAGAAAAGAGCTTCACTAGAGACCTAGGGAATCATCAGGGTGATACTGAATACTGATCCCAAGATGACAGCACTGTTCTTGGTGTACGATAACATTCATTGTAAGAATAGATTAGCAAGTTCTGGGGGAAACAGTTGGGAAATGGCGAGAAGTATATTTAGATAGTCATGAGTTTGTAGTAAATCAGCAACAAGTATGTGTAAAACCAGATAAGCGGTAAAGGGAAAAAGGGCATTACACACTTTCCTCCTGCTGTGATAAAACACTGTGACCAAGGCAACTTGTGAAATAAAGCATTTTATTGGGTTTACAGTTCCAAAGTGTTAAGAGTTCATGGTGGCTGCAGGAATAGCTTAGAACTCATATCTCAAACCACAAACGGGAGTAGGGAATGGCAGGAAGCTTTTAAGACACAAAGCCTGACCCTATGATAATCCCCAAGGCCACATCCTTCCCAAATAGTTGTACCAACTAGGGACCAAGTACTCAAATACATGAGCCAGTGGTAAACAATCTCTTTCAGACCTCTGGAGCAACTAACTACAGGGAAAACTACTCAGAGGGGAACTTAATGTGTACTGGAAGGCCGAGGCTTAGCTGTGAACCGCATTTACAGTTGTAAAAATGTGAACTTAGCAGTTGGGAGGGGTGTATGTTTTTAATGTCAAAAAGAAAAAAAAGTGAAAAAGATTGCTCAACAATTGTCTCAGTTGGGTTATCCATTGATAGGATTAAAATCGTGAGCTACAGAAACTTGGAGAGGAAAGGATTTATTTCAGTATCACACTCCGTTACTGAGGGAAGTCAAGGTAGGAACCTGGAGTTAACTGAAGCAGAGGCGGTAGAGGAGTGCTGTTTCCTGGCTTGTTCCTCGTGGCTTGCTCAGACTGCTTTCTTACACCTGTATCTAGCTATCCCACATCAGTCTCTAATTAAGAAAATACCCCCATAGGCTTATAAGGCCAGTCTTATAGTATCATTTTCTCAATTATAGTTCCTTTCTGTAGCTTCTGTGTAGTTGAAAAAAAAAAAAAAAGAAGAAGAAGACGAAGAAGAAGAAAAAAAAAGCTAAAACCAGCCAAAAAAGTGATTAAGATCTTTACCTGCTCTTCCAGAGGATTCAGGTTTGTTCAATACCTAACTTTGATGGGTGGCTTACAACCACCTGCAACTATAGACCCAGGGGAGTTTATGCCCTGTTTTAGCCTCTGAGGGCACTTCACTAGTGTTGTGCACTTATGTGCATATATACAAGCAGGCAAAACACCTATACATAGAAAAGTAAATGAATTAAAAATTTAAAAAATACTCCTGTTCCCTAAAAACAATGCTTTTCAGTAGAATTAAGTAGAAGATGTCTAAAAATCTAGACACTTTTGAGAGCCAAAGAAGCTAATTTAAATACATTGGGAGGATTATGACTATCTAGGTACTCTATCTGAAAATGAAAGAATCAAAATTAACCAAAGATGTTCGCAGTAGTAGGTTTATTACTGAAAGAAAGTGGAAACTGGGTCAGAACAAAGGGCTTCTGATTTTATAGTAAGTTTCTTACAACCACTCAACTGTATAAAGTTCATCCCCGTGTGTGCATGTGGGGAAAAAAAACTAAATTGTAAAATAAAAGAATGAACCGGACATTGAGATCACAGTTGTTTTCCTGGGGGAAAAGTAAGTGGCAATAGCTGAAGAAGGTCGGTTCATCAAGAGGAGTGAGGTTTTATCTTATTGTCTCCTAAAGCTCAGAAGTACGGTGCTAATACTGATCAATGGCAACAGTTGGAAAGGAAAGCCTGTGGTGGGGACAGCAGATGGGATTCAGAAAGACAGTAGTGTAATGCCAGTAATAATACACTGCACAGTTTATTTTTAAAACAGAATCCTTTTTATGTGAAGGATTCTATTCCAAAGATGGACTGCCAGACACTGAGATCGTCTCTAATTCTGTGCACTGCTCTCTGCTGAAGTAGGAGTTGCTTCTGTGTTTACCCCATTTAAATTGTTCATAGTTTTTTTCGTTTAATGCTGCCTGCCCATTCCCTGGTAGGCTTGCATTTAAAGCTGGTTTTAAAGTAGCATTTACACACCGGTACTTGTGCTCTCAGTACCCTGTCATCACGAAATAGTAACATGATACATGTTCACCTGCTAAATCTGTGATTTAGAGTTCAAGGAGCTTATGGAAAGGAACATTTAATTCCTAACTTAACTTGATCTTTTTGCATTTTGGTGAACTGTGCATTTAAGTAATTGCAACTGATCCTTTTAAAGACACATTGCCTATCATTCTGGGCAATTAATGTCAATACTTTATAAAAATAAATAAATGTTATTTTATATGAGTAGACTGTGTACTTGGAATTTCTCTTGAACTTGTGTAGGGAAATGATATGATGTCTAAAATGCAACCTTTCTGATGAGCAAGTATGACTCTACCTTGTCATTAAAAGCCTGGGTTATTGGGTGGGTTTTGTATTTGTGTGTGTGTGTTTCTTTATTACCACAGTATTCTGTTGCTTTGACACTCTTCAAAAAGATGTGTTCTGGAGGTAATTTAGTCCTACTTATTTTATTCCCTTCATTTTTCTCATAAATAAAATATATCTGTCAGTTGGCTGGAAAAGTAGAATAAAGATGTGAGCTGCCCTGAGAATGAGTATAGTCTTGAGTGCGTAGCTGTGAGTAAGCATAAGCTGAGCAAATCTTTTGAAAATTATTGTTGATGGTAACAGAGAATAGCTTAATAGTAGGTTGGTCTTCTAAGCCATTTTGCTTCATTCATTTTGTACATAGTCAGCAGTGTCCTTCCTGATAGGTTTGTCATAAACCCCCACCCTGTTGTTTGTCCCGTATTCTCCTTTTTAACAGTTAAGCATGCTAATGGCTTACTAAATGAATGACATATAAGACAGAGATTTGGCCCCTTAGTTTTGAAACTATATTTTATATGTGTTTTCCGCTGTCCTTTTTATTTTAGTAATAGAACCAGCATGTGTTCTTTGCCCTTTGTTGGGATCTAGAAGGTGGACATAGGTAAACCTGAATATTGTGTAGCTGTGTTCCCTCTTGTGGTGCTAACTGGAGTTAGTAACTTGGAGTCACAGTTGATCACCTCTGGTTATTATCCTGTAAGAATTCAGTCCTCTCAGTCTCATTTTGTTACCTGACCACATAGACAGTGCAGTGTCATTTTCAAGGGCTGTCTCTCCTCTTTCGGAGCGACATCTGAAAACAGTGATAGAATGTTTTAGACTCTCCTGTTAACTAACATACCTTTAAATACCTCTGGTTTAGATAGAATTACATGTTAATTTATATTATTTTATAAATTCTAAATAAAGGAAACAGCAATATAAATTTCTTAAACCTCAAAACTTAGGATGTTAATAAATCAGATCATTTGTTAATCAATATTTAACTCACGGCTTGAGATAAAACTGCTTTATAAAGGAATTTTAGGCTGTGACTCAGTTTGAAAGCAGTGCATTTTAAGATTTAATTACTTAAAGGTATGAAACACTTTAAGATACTTATTTTCTCTGCTGGATTTGCCTTCTCCTCAACTTTTCTGCAGCCCCTTTAGGTGCTAGTGATTAAGACTCTAAACTGTACATGCCTGTGAAGAAAATAAGCTCAAGATTTTCCCTGTGCGGTGTTGTAGCTCATGCCTGTGCGGTGTCAGACCATCACTGCTCTTTAGAGCCCTCTCAGCCGTCACATCTTTGTGTCCTGTGGTCACAGCAGTCAGTGAGGATCCTGGTGGAAATGTGGGTTCTCAAATGATGAGGATGCTTCCTGCCTCGGCACCATATTTTCAGTAACAAGTCTTGACACATGACAAGACTCGTTATCTCGGGCTTCCCTCTGTAATTCTCACAGATACTCTTGATTGGTTCTTGTCTGGGTGATTCCACTGGACAATAAAGGCTTCACAGTGCATTTTATCATAGTTGCTTAGATATCTGTCTCTTTGCTCATTATAGATTTTTGCCTGTAGAGCTTAGCCTCTCATCCTTATTGGTACAAGGCCTATCATGCTGTTTAACAGAAAATAGAATCTCAACAAATATCTATTAGATAGTATTATTGCAGCCAGTTTATAGTTATACAAAGTATACATTGAATATTAAAATGATATTTCTATTATTTTAGAGAAATACATTAAATATGCATTTAGATCTTTTCCATATTCCTTTTAGAAGAAAAAAAGTCTAAAATATTCTCCATCCAAAGATAATTTGCTCAAAAATAATGCACTAGCTTCATTTTGAAGTCTGCACAGTAACTTACAGTAGTCTCGAGATTTCTTTGTAGAAGTGCTTTAGAAAATTCATAACCATTTCTTTTTTTCTCCCAAGGAGAAATACAAATGTCTACCACAAGACGAAAACGCAATGTGTTATGTTGTTTACCGTAAGCTGTAGTAAGATGAGCTCAATTGTTGACAGGTATGTTTTTTAAATTCACTACTAGAGTAATGTTCTTAAGTGTTAGTGCTTAAACATAATTGCCATTATATTCAATTTCTACAGAGAACAAATAAGAAATAGTAAGAAAGGTATGTTAGTAGTTTTAAAAGCCAAAGTGGATTGCTTAGGATTTATGTTACAAATGAGTCCTTATTCTTAATTTTGGGAATTTTGGTCAACTGAAAGAAACAATAATGCTTGTAGATGATTCCCTGGCCCCTTTTAGACTCTAGGATTGAGTCTATCCCTGCAAACATCTTAGCACTTGTGACTGGTAAGACATAATTGTTACTAGGATTATTAGTTTATTAGTTTGTTTTTAATCTTTATATATAAGTCTTTGGGAAAAGATAAACTTGTTTATTTCTTTAACTGTAAAACTGCTGGTTAGTTTTTTTATTGTTTTTGTTTATTTGTTTGTTTGTGTTTTTTGTTTTTGGTGCTGGAAATGTCAGCCAAGGCCTAATGTGTACTAGTCAAGGAGCTTTACCACTGAGCTACCTCTCCAGCCTTGTTTCTAAGACTCTTTGTTATGTTGTTTTCATTCTAACACCTCTAACATTTGATTCGTCTTAAAATTCACTTCTCAGACTTCATTTGGTAGCTTCTTTTCTTTCTTCTTTCCTTTCCCCTACATCCCCTTCTTTCTCCTTCCCCCTTTTTCATTTCCCTTTCTTTCCCTCCCACCGTCCCTCCCTCACTTCTTCCCTTCTTTCCACATAAAGATGAATCTTAAAAATGTCTAGAATCTTTTATATTATTTCATTGAATTGCTTAGATCCTCAAGGTTCTGAAGATATAGGTCAGGGATTAGCTAGCTTTTTAAATTATGGTTACATAATTCACTGTATGACGATTCTAGTTCTTTAAGGATTTTGCAGATAGATTTGTATGTAGAGTAGTTGTTGATATCTGAAGGCAGCTTTTCTTCTTTTCTGACTAAACAAAGATATATCTTGTATTAGAGCATAAGACTTAAAGGCAAGGAATGTCCTTAAGAGGTTTGCCTTCACTGTGGCCCTAGTTTTGGATTAAGGCCTTGTCTCCTTCTTGAAAAGACACACCAGTCATCTAAAAGGACTGGAAATGACTGGGTGATCAATTCCTTTTCTATACTGTATGATGTTTGGGATGACACCTCTGTGTTCAGAGATAATGCAGTGATTATTAATATGGATTCCTTATATCTGAATATTATAATATTTATAGACTCCCTAGTCAGAAAAAGTATATTCATGTAGGGTTCTTAAAATAAGTTCCCAAGCATAAATGGACTACTTCAGGTCTATTCATGAGCCACCATAAAACACAATTTACAACTAATCTCAAAATGAGACTAATAGACGCCTCAAAGGCGTCTTCAGAAGTCACAGCTGGATTTGACTGAATGGTATGACTGGTGAGTTCATGTAGAAGCTCACAGTCATCAGAAACTTGGATATCACTCCTTAGTTTTAAGAGTCAGCTTCTAGTGCTCTTGATGTAATTTGTTAGACTTTCCCCCAGGTCTCAGCTGTCCTCATCTTGTCACTTAATTCTTCACTTAATGTTCCCAGTTATACAAGTTCTTCCTAACCACTCAGACTAAAGCAACCACCCAGGGTTGCTTAGTTGATTTTCTATTGCCACAACAAAACACTGTGACAAAAGCAGCTTATAAACATTTAATTTGGGACTGCAGAGGGTGGTCTAGACCATGACTGTCGTAGTAGGGAACATGACAGGTGAGCATGCATATCACTGGAGCAGTAGCTGAGGCTTGCCAGTTGAAATAATGTCCATGGGAGGGGGGGAGCAAAAGGAAGACAGAAAGAATGAAAGTGAGCTAAGGAGGAATAGCATGGGCTTTTGAAACCCCAGAGCCCACCCTGCCAGGGACATACATCCTCCAAAAAGGCCACACCTCCTAATCTTTACCAAATGAGGACCAAGCATTCAAGTACATGAGCTTTTGGGGATCAGTCTCATTCAAAACCACCCTCCTTTAGAAATAAGGCCTGTTGTTTCCATGTGTTTCTTTGTAACAGAAGATGAAAAAGAGGAGAGCAGCTGTTAGTTCTGTTTGCTGTTCTGTTACAGTTTACTATTTACTATTCTGTGTACTGTTTACTATTCTAGTACACAACCTGGTACCTGCGTGCTAATCAGTATCTGTTCAGTGGGTCAAATATGCTAAGTTCATGAGCTAATAGTTATTAGGATGTTTATGAGTAGTGGTGTTTTTAAAAGTGACTATCTGAAAAGGCTTTTAAGTTATGGTATTATAGTTAATATATTCCAGATGGGTAGTTTAATACAAGGACATTTCATACTGGCATTTGATAGGTTTCCAGTAGATATTAAAATTTTGAAATATGATATTTAAACTAGCTAAGTTCTTATTTAGCCTGATATATACACATAGCTGAGTATAACTTTTAAAAATTCACTTGCAGAAAACTAAAAGTATAATTAAATGTAATTAAACTTTTATTAAAAAATAATTTCGTGATTCCTGAGCTTGTATTTATTTGATCTCTTCACCTAGGAATCAGGTCAGTCTGAGTGGATTCACCTCTCCCTCTTACTAAGTCTTTTCATTTTGTTTTCTCTTGTAGAGATGACAGTAGTATTTTTGATGGATTGGTGGAAGAAGATGACAAGGACAAAGCAAAAAGGTAGTTAGCTGTGAAATAGAAAATAGTAAATAATATATAATACTTACATGTGTTAGATATATTAGCAAAGTAAAAAAGCTTAAACTATCAGTATACAGTTTAGAAATTAAACTATTTCCTGACTTTTTGAAAAGTAAGTTTGAATATATTATGTCATGTCCAAATTGGACACTGCATTAAACTATTTGTATAATTAAATAGATTATTTAAAAACTACATATTTAATTTCTTTTTTCATAGAGTATCTAGAAACAAATCTGAAAAGAAACGTAGAGATCAATTCAATGTTCTCATTAAAGAGCTTGGATCTATGCTTCCTGGTAATGCTAGAAAGATGGACAAGTCCACTGTTTTGCAGAAGAGCATTGACTTTTTACGCAAACATAAAGGTAAAATACTGTAAATTGGATATGGTTTCTATAGCAAACTCTCTTAGAAAATATGAGTTATATGATGCTTAAGGTAAAGAAGAAAAGATTCCTAGTATGTTCTTTAATTCAACAAGCATTTAGTTGTTTTTGTATTCTAGGTCCTTATGAAGTTAGGATGACTTTCTTGGCTCTCAACTTAAGCAAGGGGAGACAAATGTGTAAACACTAACTAAAATACAGATGAGTAATTATTAGGAACTATAAGCTTGAGAAGCACATGATTGTCATATTTTTTTTAAATAAAGAATGTTTTAAGGTATACAAATAAGTATTTTTTGTTTTTTAGCTAAATCTTTTAGGTTAGGCAAGTGAAAGTGCTTTACACAAAGGAAGTACTGTGTACAAAAGTGGAAGAGCAGAGAGGTTTGATTGTAACTGAGCTTGTTTGTGTTGGAAGGCTGGAGATGTATCAGAGTCAGGTCACGTCAGGTCATTGCAGGCCATTTTTAAAGGTCATTTCAGTGTATGTCTAGAAAGCAAACATTACACCTAAAAATATTTGTTACTAGAAGAAAATCATCTTCACTAAATCAGTCATGGAAAAAGAAACTTTAAAGTATTTGATATTTAGGTAGTGGAGATATGAAACTGAAGCTAGAGAGGATATTTGAGAGACGCTAACTGCTGCCTTTTTCATTTTCTTTACCACCTCTGTAATTCATGGCTAGGCTCGTTTGTGCGCCACTACTCTCTGGAATATTTTCATTTACTGACATTGCCCACCCATCCCCAGTACAGCAAAAGTTTTTTCTTCTTTACTCTCCATAAAGTTAGAACTGGTGATCTTGATCTGCCCGCTACTGACTTCATGGCTTCCATACTCTACTGCTGCTTCCCCTTCCTGTCTGGCCCTCTCTCCTCTTCCCTTCTCTGCTCTCTAAATGGAATGTTTCTCAAGGCTTATCCTTGTGATCTTATTTTCTCAACCCTCTTTCCTGGGATGACTCATTGTATAACTGTAGCTGCTGTGCATCTGTAAGCACTAACGAATCTTTGTTTTCAGATGCAGAATTTTCATCCTTGTATTTCTAGTTAACTTATAGATACCACTTTCCATGTGTCTAAACTCAGTTCCTCTAAAATGGAATTCGTTTTCGTTTTGTCAAGTCAGTTTCTCCTAAACTGGCTTTTTCCATTTTTATACCATTTGATTAGGTTCCCAGGGCTCAAACATGAAAATACTTTGGGAATGTTTTCATTTGTCTTAGCATCATATCACATGTGCCATATTCTCTCCTGATCTTTGTAAATGTGTCAGTCACTTAGATTGAACCTTTGTAAATGGTGTCCTTGCTGACTTCATCTCCCTTTGTATAATGGCACACTCAGAAACCAGTGCCTTAAACATTGTAGAGCTCAGTAAATGATTGTTGAATGAAATAAACTGAAATGCATACATTTCCACCCTCTGAAAATAGAACATTAATTTTGGCATTATCTAGGTTTTGCCCCCAAAATCGAATGTATAATTCTCACAAAAATGAAATTTTGGTAAATTTCAGGGACATTTTCAAAGTATTTATCTAACATAGACCTGTATTAACTAACCCTTAATAAATTAGTTTATATCGTTATATATATAATTGACAACAATTTAAAGTGCTTGACTGTATTTCACAGAATTAGTAGCTGTACTTTTAGTTCCCTGTCATAGTTCAGTATAGTCATTTGTAATCACCAAATTTGTTATATAAGTATGATATATTTAAATACCCGGTAACAAAACATTAAAATAATATAATCCATACTTTTCACTATAAAGTAAGGTAGAGTACAGCCTACCACATTGATCTTTAATTTGTGTGATTATTGTAGTATATCTATATCTAAAATGGAAAAAAAATGTTGAGGCATGGAGGTGTTTGCCTATAATTCTAGCATTTGGAAGCCAAGACAGGAGGGTCGTAAGTTTGAAGCCAGCCTGAAATATATAGTGAGACTATGTTTTAAAAAGAAAAGAAAACATACTTGTTAAACAGCAAATAGTTCAGACTTCACTATTTATGATAACATTTTTATGACTGAATCTGTTTGCGAAATGAAGGAATCACGTGGTAAATATGTGTGCTGTGCCAGAGGCCCCAGTGACTTGGGCAAACTCCACATAGTTAGGAGCATTAAAATGACACTGAGCAAGTCACTCTGCAAGTGTTGTTACTTTCTGTGAAATTCTGGCCTCAAATCCTCATTTAGTCTCCTAAGATTAGAAAAAATCTTTTTGCCTGGGAAAACAGACTGGCTGACCCCATTGGCAACTTTGCTTTGAGCTGACTGACTCCTTATCTCTACTTGAGATATTACCGTTTGAATGGCAAGGAAGCCAAGGTAAAAAATTTCCTCAAAATGTTTGGAATAATCTTGTTGTAATCTGCTTGTTTCTATTTGCTAATTATGTCAAGTCGGAAACAGATTTAGGCCTGTCACCCACAGAGCATATCAAAACTGTACCCTCGCCCGCCCAATAAAATCTCCAAAGAAATTGATACTAAATGGTCCATCCAGACCAAGTTCTAGAAGATAACATTTCACATTTTGAAACCCTATCCTCCTGTGCTTATCGTTGAGTAGGAAGAGAAGGCGACTTGTAGGTTTTTGTGCTCTCCCAGTGGTTAGAGTTTGCTGCTAATGTGTCGATCTGTTTACAGAAATCACTGCACAGTCAGATGCTAGTGAAATTCGACAGGACTGGAAACCTACATTCCTTAGTAATGAAGAGTTTACACAATTAATGTTAGAGGTATGTCCAGATTTAATTTTTGAAAGTTTTATTTCTCTAAATTTTTAACAGTGATTAATTTTAGTATAGTTTTAGCAGTATGAATATTAAAAAGTTTTAATTCAGTATAAATGTAATAAGCTCTGTTTGTGTATAATTACAGTTGATCAGTGTATTGACCAAGTATTTTAAGTAGATAATGCCATGTGGGAGAATAATACCAAATTTTCTTATTTTCATTATTTGAAATTTTGAGGTGCTTTCATACAGTTCAGAAATCTGTAGCTACTGAGTCTTCAGCCTGAGATGCCCACTCCATCCTAACAAAGCATAGCGTGTGTTATCACATCAAACACTGTTGCCAGTTGTGTATATTTTACTCCAGCTGTGCCGTCACAGATTGGACTCTGTAGTCCTGGAGGCAGGCAGTCCAGTGAGAAGACCCAGTGGGCTTGGTGTATGTGAGAGCACTTGAGTCTAGTTTGTGGGTGGTCTTCTTGCTGTGCCGTGGCATGAAGATATGCTGTATAGGAACTCTCAAGGACTCTCTTATGGGGACACTAATTTTATTTTGGAGGCTTTATCTTTATCACCAAATCACCTCCTAGCTGCCTCCTCCCAATGAAACATAATGGGAAATTAGGTTTCAACATAAATTTTGTAGGACACAGCATTTAGTCCTACTAGACATCTGTGTAAAATGACCACAAATTGTAATAAAAATGATGTATCTTTCAAATGAAAATATGTTAAAAGGTAATCATTCTGTAAATAGAAATGTTTAAAAGGAAGTGAGCAGATGTTCTTCTGTTACAGAATTGCTTTTAAAAATAATTTAAAACAGCTTTTGCTTGTATATAGACCATAACACCTCCTGTCAGAATGTAATGCACATGAATTTTATAATATTCATACCCAAAAGCTTTACTCTTCTACTCTTTTGTCTTTTCCTACATAGAGTAATGAAATTATCATTTATACAATAAGCTGGTCAGAATTTAATACCAAGTTTCATGAAAGCTTAAAATAGCAAATAGGTGGTTTGCTTTGTAGTTAACAGTGATAAGAAAACTCAAGAGGGTATGGTAGAGTAATTGGGGTGGGTCAGGGGTATTGTGGCTAGCCTGGGCAGCATGTACAGAAATCATAGATGTACAAAATGAAATTATTAGGTAATTTCATGTATCATGTGTATGTTTATAATGCTTATGTTGCAAATGGTTTTCTGTACTACTAGAGTCTGAAGTAAGGCAGAACATTTTTAGTAAGGGGCTTTGTGTTTCTTTGATTATACTTCAGGGTGTAACAATTAGTGAACTCTATTTGTGTGCTTACCAGAAATTATTAAAATTTGTTAAAGTATAAGTATAGCATAAGCATTTAAACTTATACTTTAAAACTGAGGAGTACTTTCCTCCTGTTAGCTCCACCAGTTCCCAGACCCGCTTTAAGAACGTGTTTGAAGCGGGAACAGGGCCTCTCCAACTCTTTTACTGGCTCCTAAGACACTACTTCTCGTTCTGCGTCGCCTTGCCCAGCTTTAACACATAGGAAGGTGCTCAGTCTTCCTGCAGCTTGCTGTGCCATGTTTTATTGATACTCAGGGGAGACCTGCCCGTTCCTGAATGGAGATGGAAGAGGAGAAGATTGGGGGAGGGGGGAGAAGGGTGGGGGCGGCTATGGCTGAAAAAGTGAATATTAAAAAAAGTGTTGGAGATAAGGATGAAATTCAGAAGCAAAGTTGTCAGGAAGTGTGCTCATGTCACATAGGTAGTCAAATGCTTCTGGGATGTGTAAGGATGCTGTGCCTTCAGCCACAATTATGCACAGTAGTTTTAAAACTCATTAATTAGTGATGAGGTACAGCTCAAGGAACAGTCTTACTTTTACTTGTTTTTTCCTCTTAAAAGAAGTTTGACATTGTACAAAAGTGTCTGTCTGTCTGTCTGTCTATCTATGTGGAAGGATACACACAAGCTAGTCTATAACAAGAAAAAAAAATAACCTATTTTATAATCCTAGTGCAATTTGTCATTCAATAAGATTTTCTGTGTTTGTTATAAACTGCTTACTTTTATTGGCATAAAGGTTTTCTATAATTCAAAAATTATTTATTTTGTTAATAATCTTAATGCACCTGCTTTACTAACAGGCTAAATACATTCAGAGTTTTTTTTCTTTATAATAGGAAGCTTTTATATTAGTTACTAAGGTGCATGTACTACATACCAGATAACTATCAAAGGAAATAATAAGCCAAAAATTCTAGTGATGATATGACATTATATAAACAGAGAAAATATATTAAGAACTTGAAAATGTAAGTTTAATTCTTTATATCCTCAGAGTTTAGATTCACATAACTGAACAACGTTGTATTTACTTTGAATATGTAAAAAAAAATACTTGTAATTTTTTATTATATCTATCCCTATCCATCTGTCTGTCTATCTGTCTGTCTGTGGTTCCATTCTTGCCCCAGCACACATGTGGAGGACAGAGGACAACTTGTGGGGGTTGGTTCTCTCTTTTCACCAGGTGGATTATGGAGATCAAACTCAAGTTGCCAGACCTAGTAGCAAGCACTTTTACCCACTTAACTATTTTAGTAGCCCAAATATTTTCAAGTTTTTTTATGTATTAAGTGTATGTTTAAAAAGTAAAAGACTAAGGTGAAGGGTGTGTATATAGGTGTGTATCTTATATCCTTAATCCAGGTGTTTGCACACATGTGATTTTACATGCTTCAAGTCTGCAGTTTTCTGATTGAATATGAAAATTTTAATCATAACTTAGAATTGGATTTGTTGATAGAATAGTCTGGTTTGGATAAAGTTTATCTGACTGGCAAGACTGTGATGTAGTTGTGTTACATTTAAGTAATCATGTTGATTACATTAGAGCTGAGTAGGCCTTTTCTGTTTTCAGCTGAATTTCAGATTTATGCTTTATCTTAAAAATGTTAGCATTGTGGTTCAGAAGCTTATTTAGTCTATCTACTTAACATGTTGGCGCTGCTGGTACAGGAGTTTAGACCATCCATTTAACATGTTAGCATTACTGGTTCAGGAGTTTAGACCATCCATTTAACATGTTAGCATTACTGGTTCAGGAGTTTAGACCATCCATTTAACATGTTAGCATTACTGGTTCAGGAGTTTAGACCATCCATTTAACATGTTAGCATTACTGGTTCAGGAGTTTAGACCATCCATTTAACATGTTAGCATTACTGGTTCAGGAGTTTAGACCATCCATTTAACATGTTAGCATTACTGGTTCAGGAGTTTAGACCATCTACTTAACATGTTGGCATTACTGGTACAGAAGTTTAGACCAACTACTTAACATATTAGTGTTGTGGGTATAGGAGTTTTAGATAATTTAGCTGAGCTTGTTCATTATTGACCATGCCCAGAGAAGTTGAAGCTTGCTTACCTTCCAAAAGCTAATTCGTGTCATAACTAGAACCTAGGTCTTAATACTTACTTATGTTGCCTCTCTTAATTCTTTGAATACAACTGTGCCTCCCCAAGCCCCCCCCCCCCCCGTCTATTGCCTGAGGAGTAATTTACTACAGGACCTGGGAGTAGGCATCTTAGGACAAAGTCATCTTGTTAAAGTCATCTCTGATTGTATACTGTTTTCCCCTTGGGAGCTCATAGTCTTCCTTGTAGTTTACAAAACAAGGGCTCACAATATGTGTCAGCCTTGTCTTTGCTGAAGATCTATAGGGAACTTCTGTACCCTTCCCTAGGACTGACATTCTTATCTTCCACAAACTAAATAATCACTGTTAGCAAGAAGATACCTAGATGAAAGTAATGTTCTAAATAATGAATAGTTCTCCTTCGTTCATACAGTAAGAGGACAGGGATAAATCACAGCTTCCCGTCATGATGTGGGGATGCTCTTTGCCTTATTCTTCCACATTTCTCCAATTACCCTTCTCAAGGAAATTTTATCCTCTACTCAGAAGATTTTCATGACTTGGCACTGTTGAAACTTTTCTTTGCAAGTGGAAAGAGCAGGTTTCAGCTCTCGGAGTGGGAATAAATGATTGAGCATTTTCATTTCAGTTCATTGTCTTCAGAGAGAAGCCCTGAAATTCCTAGCAGTCAGTGTCTTCCCAGCGTGAACAGATCATCACAGTGAAAGATAACTTCCTTTCAACACGGACAGTCTTTTCACATGAGAAAGCATAGGTTTTTTTTCTTTACACCAATTTGACTCTATTCACTGTAGCAATCAAATAGTTACTGATAAATCGTAATGGGGTAACACTTCAAGACTTGCTTTTTAATTTCAAGATTTCAAAACCCCTCATTATCTAAAAATATATTTGTTTGAGTTATTCTGGAAAGTAAGAAACGATTCAAAGTGCCTTTTTCTGGACCATATCTCTCCCCTAGTAGGAGAGAGGGGAAGGATACCTTTTTTTGTATCTTCAACAGTTAGAGACTGGGAATATAGCTTCATGGTAGGGCATGTGCCTAGCATTCATGAGGCCCTGCACCCATTTGTTAGCACTGCAAACAGCAATAATAATTGGGCATGTGGCTTCCTTGAGTTCAAGGCCAGTATGAGCATTGGAAGCTGTCTCAAGACACCCTGCTCCCAACCCCCAGCGCACACACACCAAAATAAAAATTAAAGCCCAACTCGTACTGATTTCCTTTGCTCCTAGTCCCATCCTTTATGGCTATTATACTTTTCACTGTACCAAGTGTGTTCATCTGTGCCCAGACATAAGGATGACTGAAACACAGTTTTTACCAGAGTTGCTGACCCTTTGAGGGAACTATTTAACTAAATAACTTGCAACTTCTCCACTAGTGATCTTTCTCTCCTTTAACTTACAAATGTACTGGTTAGCCTTTGCTTTATTCTTTTGGTACATGAGCCCTTTAAAATAATTCTTCTTCCTCCCTTATTGTCTTGCCAGTTTTATGAGTGAGTTATAATAGCTCTTGTCAGCTTGTTCTAAGTTTGTTTTAAGTGACTTGCCTTCCTGTTGATGTTGCTCTTTGAAAATAACTAAACTTGTTCCTTTGCCTATCTGCTATCACTGCACCATCCCTCTTTCCACACTGTATTCTGTCTTTACTGTTTGTCTGGCTCTTTGCTCTCCATATTCATATTTCAGTGATTCTTCCAAGCTTTGTCTTTGGCCCATTTCTTTATTGAAGGTCTCACCACTTCATTTAGCACTACTGTTCCTGTGGTTGTCAAATGAAAGCACACTGAGTCTCGTATTTTCTCTGACATCTCTCCTGAAGATGTTTGTATTTCTTAATCCTTGGTTAATCTTTCTCTTTTCATATTGCTCCTGATTTCATTCAGTGTTGTTAATTTCTTGATTATCCCAAGGCATGTTTTCTTGACTCAGACTACTAGAATTGAAACACAGCTACCGCCTTCCCCCATACAAAACCTTCTGTTGGCTTCCTTTATGTATAGAGTAAAGATACCTTTACCAAGAATTTGGGCTTTAGATGATTGTGCCTCAGATTAGTTTGGGGAGGCTTAATTTCTTTTCCCTTCATTCTGTTCCTTCTGTTCTAGTCCTTCACTTAAGTACACACCTGTCTGTGTGTACTTTATGAGATGTGACCATCTCCAGATAAGCTGTACTGTACTAAACAGTGTATCATACAGTGTATGTCTGCAGCTGGAAAGGCAGAACATGGGTTATCTCATCTTTAGAAACCGACTTCCAATAGATAGCCAAAATGATATTTTTCCCTCAGAAAGATCTAAAGATGCCCAAAAATTAATATCCTAAGGTACTGAAAGCAAATTAGCTGTCATTTTGACTGTATGCTAAACATTTCTACAATAACTTATTTGTCATTTTTCTTGTTTCTATTCAGTAAAATGCTTTTTTTCTTTTCCCTTAACTGACCATTATGTTTAATTTCAGGCTCTTGATGGTTTTTTTTTAGCGATCATGACAGATGGAAGTATAATATATGTATCTGAGAGTGTAACTTCATTACTTGAACATTTACCAGTAAGTATAAAAACCCTGTAATCTCTTTATTATTTAGTGTCTACATAAAATATTAGAATGCTCTAGGAAGTAGACCTTGAGAGTGATATTTGAACAGTGGTTGAGGGGTTGGGATTAAAACCCCAGCTAATGTCTTTGTTATTAGCATTGCCGTGTTTTCTCAGACCAGTCCTAAGTTGTTCTTCCTTTTGCATTCTAAGGCTTATTTTGCAATGTTTTTCTTTTAGCTAATATGAAAATATTGTATCAAAAAACAAACAAAAACCTCCAATCAAATTTCTACTGCACTTATTGCTATGAGGAGAATTCATAAATAATTTTCTCAAAAAAGTGACTTATAAAAACTGAAGTAGAGCCGGGCAGTGGTGGCGCATGGCTTTAGTCCCAGCACTTGGGAGGCAGAGGCAGGTGGATCTCCGTGAGTTCAAGGCCAGCCTGGTCTACAAGAGCTAGTTCCAGGACAGCTAGGACTGTTACACAGAGAAACTCTTGTCTCAAAAAAACAAACAAACAAAATACAAGTAGGTACAAAACTTGCATGCAATGTGAGTTGGACTGGTAATGTAATAATGGACATATTCCATTTTAAAATATGTCCTCAAAAAGGTACACTGTGCTAGAGATGCAGCTCCATAAACCTTGTATGTTTGCTTTTACTCATCCTGTATTTACTGAACATTCATTCTTTATTGAACACTAGGCTAAGTGCTTCCTACAGTTAAAGGTTTTAGAAGTTTATTTGAATTTATTATATAATGTGTATTTAAGATTGGTTTGTAGTATAAAAATTCTAATATTTTCAGATTACCCTTGAAATGCCCATTGTTGGAAAATTTACATCAGTGCAATATAAACCATTCTTTAAATATTTCTTTTTAAAAATATTTTTTAAGGGGCTAGAGAGATGGCTCAGAGGTTAAGGGTACTGACTGCTCTTCCAGAGGTTCTGAGTTCAATTCCCAGCAACCACATAGTGGCTCACAGCCATCTGTAAGGAGATCTGGTACCTTCTTCTGGCCTGCAAGCATACAGACAGACAGAACAGTGTATACATAATAAATAAATAAATAAACAAACAAACAAACAAATAAAGAAAAAGAAAAATATTAAAAAAAACAAAACTATTTCCTTCCCTTTGGTTTCTCTGCTACTTAATACCTTGTAAAGAGAAGGGACTCTACCCATAAAAATGTCAGATTGTAGAAGGGCAACTTTCTACTGAAAGGCAGTAAGCATTGTACTCATTTTTTAAAGTTCTTATTGCAGCATATGTATGTCTGTGTCTGTGTGTGTGTATGTCATTTGCATACCCCGCGAGGCAGAAGGTGTGGAGTGAAGGTAGTTGTGAGCTGCCTGGTGTGGGTGATGGGAACTGAACTCAGGTCGGGATTATGGGTGAGCAGTAGTAAGTGCTCTCAACTGCTGAGCCCTCTGTCCCTGTTGCTAGTTTCTATATTTGGCTTGACTTCACTAGTCTTCTTCCGCAAATAAAGCCCAGATCTAAAACGTATAAGTCAACTGGCACGGACAGAAAGAAGATCAGATCAAGTGGATATTCTTAATGACCCCTTTAAAAAAGTTATTTGCTCTTAAATGCTGAGCCAAAATGTTTAGAATTTGCTAGCTTAACAAAACATTACTCTCCACCGGCAGATGGGCTAAGGATGTTGTCAGATAATACCTGAAGTCCATAATTGAGATTTCTCTGGCTAGCCCATGTCTGATGTTTCATCCAGGTTTTTAAAATTAAAATACATACTGATGTATTTTTTTAATGTCTTGGTTTACAAATTTCTTTGTTCTGTTACCATAAAGCTCCATGAAATGATTCCATGTTGGAACAGCAGAACTTGGGATAAACTAAATCTACATTCCAGGGCCATGGTCACTTAAATTTGGCTTCAGAATAAGTTACCATTTTTCTTCTTTGATGGGGGTGGGGATTTATTTGCACAGTAGGAAAGTTTGGCAGACTGGGAAAAGAGTGCTGGGAGCCTGGGATGTGGTTCAGTGGTAGATCACTTGCCTAGCGTGCACATAGGGTTGACTGTTCGGTATTGAATACCAATTATTAGGGTCATTCCTGTGAAAGACTAATTTTCACTCTCTCAGTAGTCATTAGTCACTTAGAGTTCTTTATGTAGAGACTCCATGAGATTCTCCCATCCATATTAGCATATCTGCTGGTGTTGTCATTGTACGTATCTTGTTTAGGCAGCCATAGTTGTTGAGGTGTCATAGATACAGCTTTCTTGTCATTTCTAGGAGACAGGGTCTCACAGCAGATTTCCTAGTCTCCTGGCTCTTAATTTTTCCTGTTCCTTCTTCTGAGGTGTTCTCTGATAGGTGCAGGGGTTGTGTCGTAGATGTGTCCGTTGAGATTGGGCACACCACAATGAGTTGATCTCAGCATGTGGCCAGTTGTTTTCTTCAATGGTCTCTGTCTTCTGCTGCAAAGAGACACTTTTTTGATGAAGGCTGAGAGCTATACTTAATCTGTGTGTATAAGGATAAGTTTAAGAACGCAGTTAATAATTACGGTAAGTCTAGTAGTAGCTTCTCCTGTAAGATCTGTGACCTCACTAGCTAGGAGTACTTGGCTAGGTTTTTAGTACCAGGTATCGCTTTTTTGAAGGAAGTAATTTGAATTAGTGTTTGAAAAAATGCAAGATAGAGATGTGGAGTTTACCTAAGCTGTAGATAAGACTTTGTTTGATCCCTAGAGAAAAGCCAGAAGAAATCGTGTGAGTATATGGGGAGTAGTAAACCATCCCTCCCTTCCTCCTATGATTTGGTTTTTCTTACTGTTTTCTTTTAAGCAGTGGAGCTGTTCAGGTACAGTCTTTAAGGTATATAAATACAAACCAAATGGGAGTGCAGCTGCCTTCCCCCCCACAGCTCCCTCTACCTCCCTTGCCTCCCACAGGGCCTGAGCTCTCACTGCTCGATTCTAGAGTTAGAGCAGGGTGGACAGTGGGGCTCCAATAGGATGGGCTGGATTCAGTAGAAGGTAAAGTCGCTGAGGTGTCACTGTCGTTGGCTCTTCATCTTTGAGTCTACAGCATCACCTGTCACAGATTTCCTAACATTTGTGAGACTCCTGCTGATTACTGGATAATGATTAAAGTCACGTATTAGCATGCAAGAAGAATTAAAATGCTTTACATGCTAGCTGTTCATTTTAGGCAAGGCTTTTGGTAGTGTGATATAGAATAAATGCCTGGAAAAGATGAAATAAGATTAAAGGGCGTGTTGGACTATTGCACTGATAGTAGTGTCAGATCTCCTTATTCAGCTTATCACTGTCATCACCGCTGTTTAACAGGTGTTTGAATAAATTACAAGACTGTGTCTTAGAGCCAATAATTTTCTTAACTTTCTCTGCCCCATTGTATTTTACAATGTTCAAATTTGTTAAAACTCAAGTTTTCGAATAGTGTTTCTCACTTTTTGAATCCCTTCTGTTGTGGATCTGATACTCTGGTATGTTACCCTTCTCTAGCTTCTCAGTCTCAGTTTTTAATATAGAGTTTGTAGATTGACATTACTGGTTTTCATGGATAATTGAATATTAATCATATGTACCCCTGCTATTTAATATCTATTATACATGTTAGAGATAAGTGCCTCTCAAAGAACCATTATATAATTTTAAATTTTCTTATTTTTCAGTCTGATCTTGTGGATCAAAGTATATTTAATTTTATCCCAGAGGGAGAACATTCAGAGGTTTATAAGATACTCTCTACTCACCTGCTGGAAAGTGATTCATTAACCCCTGAATACTTAAAATGTAAGTAGGCCCTCCTAAGCAGAGACTCAAAACTTATATTTGGCACCATTATCCTTTATTTCTGTAAGTTTATGAAAAACACGATTTGTTTAACTAAATTAGAATAGCACTGTTTCTTGAACTCTATTAAATGCTTTTAAAACATTGGTGAATATACACAACTAAAAGAATTGTGTTCATTTTAAGATACCAGATCTATTATTCCATTGTATATTGAAGTCTCATCTTTTTTGTTATAAAATTGATCACAATTATGCAACAAACTGTAATATGTAAAAAGATGGAAAGATTTTTAAATGAAATCTTAAAGTTTTTATTAAATAATCTTTGCTGGATGTGTTTAATATAATTTCTTAAAGTGCCAAATATAGTGAAAAAATAGTCCCTGCCATCAAGTAGCACAAAATATTTTGGTGTAGTGAGACATTTCTGTAGATTGCCTGGGGAAGCAGTTGACTGGAACTTTTGCTGTCTTCATTCTTGGTGTTCTGGTTACCTTCACACAGTGTTCCCATGTAGTAGACTCTGATACGGGGCACGTTTATCTGGGCTCATGCTTTAGAGGTGTCTAACATTCTGGGGAGGATGTGGTGGGGCACAGCTGTTCACAGCATGACAGCTGGGAAGCAGGAAGGAAGAAGGGCATAAGGACATGCCTGCCACAGCCTACTCCTCCAGACTTCCCTCCTCCTCAGTCTCTAGATTCTCTCACAGTAGCATTGCCAGCTGTGAGCCCTTTGTGCTGACAGTTCGTGTACAACCTGTAATAGTTACCCTGAGTAAAATCAAGAATGTGGGTCTGGGCGTGTAACAGTGTGAAGTACTTGCCTATAATGCACATGACCCTGAGCTTGTTTGCAGTGTGTGTGTGTGTGTGTGTGTGTGTGTGTGTGTGTGTAAATTAGTACATTATTGTATTTGTGTGGCCATTAGCTATTAGAGACCTTCCTTAATACCTTTTTATTAATTTTAAAATGTATCTTACCTGGTAATAGTGACTTAAATCAACTTAAAAAGTTCTTTGTATTTGTATCTTCGGATTCTGTAATATTAAGAACTAACCTGTGTATACTTGCATACATGCTTACATCCATGTTAAGAATAGATTGTCTTTCAGAAGGAGTTATAAAAAATAGAAGTAGAAATTTACTTGGAGCCTATATGTAATTGTTTATAATGAGATTTGTATTACGCTAGTCATTAGACCATTTTAATATAGGTACTTAAAAGAAACATTTGAGCTGGACTTAATAGAGAAATCAACTATATGGCTTTAAACAGTATTTGAAGTCACAGAACAAAAGACATTACTGAGGCAAATGCATAGAAAAGGGGGAGAGATAGAAAGTTGGCCCTCTGAGTTGTCAGCAGAAGGACAGGGAGAAGGAGCCAGTTTTAGAGACTCTTGGAGGAGATGACTGCTCAAAAGCGCACATAAAAAGCTTCTGCCAAGATAGACCTCCTTCTCTGGAGATCAGAGAAGTCTTAACTAAGAGTTAAAACGCAAGCTATGTTGCTTAGAAAATGTAGTAGCCTCTTTTGCTATAATGTCTATGAGTTGGTACAGATAATATGATGTTTGTAAAGATGAAGCAGAATTATAAAACACCTGGATTTTCATCCTATGGAGTTTAATTTTTACTCTTTTCACAATAAAGAACTAGTGAAGGCCTTTTGGGTGGTTTATAGTTGCAGGGGGGGATCAAGATAGAGACTTCTGCAAAGAACCATTCTAGGGTCAAAAAGGGGAAGTGTATAATTAGCAATAGAAGTATGGATGGAGAAAAAACATGATTGATAAGTTGGCAGATCCCAGTATAACTACATCTGGGAAAATTTTGAAAAGATAATTGGAATTTACTTGTTGAGTTAGGTGATAAAGCCAGATGCAGAAGAGTCTAAGTGTGATGCAGTGAGCGAAGGAATGGGGTATTACATATTCATGATACGAGACTGTCTTACGTAAAGGGTAGAGTTGATCAGAAAGATACAGGAGGGTAAAGAGCCTCCCAAGATCAATTGGTGAATATAGAAAGGTTATTAAAGGTCAAGCTCAAAATGTCTTTGTGAAAGTGTCTAGTGTCAGACAGCTAGCAAATACAGTAGTATTGGGAGGGGAGTCCATGCTGTGGGGATGAGGAAGAACAAGTTGTCAGATTACCTGGAAAGAATGAGAAAAACCAGTTGAGGTTGACAATAAAAACGTCAGTATTGTTTGGGAGAGCCATCACTCTAGAGGCATAAGGAAGTTGGAGAAATGGACACATGAAAACCAGAGTACATTTTAATGAGTTCTCTGGTACTATAAGTAGATTAGCATGAAAAATACTTTGTTGAAAAGATTGAAGACCTGATCAGATTTAAAATTGTAGGAAGTAAGGAGCCAAAGAAAAATTTGCAGTTGCTAAAGGGATGAATATCAAATGGCAAGGCTTTGGTCCTAAAGGAGGCAAGAAAGACTCTTGAAGGTAGAGATGGGAACAGTAAGCCTGTAATTTTAACACTTGGGAGCCTGAAGCAAGGGACAAATTCTAGGCCAGACTGGGTTAGTGGGTAAAACCCTGCCAAAAAGCAATAGCAGCAGAATAGAAGGTATTGGATTTAAATAAAGGGGGAGCATTAGTTTTAAATGGAGAACAAAATATTTTTGTGAAATTAGAAGTAGGGGTGGGATGGGAGAGCGGATGGCGTGTGCGCTGCAGTCCTCTCCTGCAGGCACTTTACTGTGATGCACTGAAGACAACGTGTAACGCTGCTTCTGTTGAAAAAATGAGTGTGAACTTACCCAACTTTTTAATAATTTGTTTCAGCAAAAAATCAGTTAGAATTCTGTTGTCATATGCTTCGAGGAACAATAGATCCAAAGGAGCCATCTACCTATGAATATGTGAGATTTATAGGAAATTTTAAGTCTCTAAACAGTGGTAAGTTAAAATGCTTCTCTTACAATGCATTTTAACTGACTTTATTTTTCTAAGCTCTTAGATGCTTAAGTGTCAGTAACAAGTATATTTTACTGGATTAACCCATGATACATGTCTCCTTGCTTTTTTAGTATCAACTTCAGCACACAATGGTTTTGAAGGAACTATACAGCGCACACATAGGCCTTCTTATGAAGACAGAGTTTGTTTCGTAGCTACTGTCAGATTAGCTACACCTCAGTTCATCAAGGTAGGCTTCTAATTTTAATTGCTCTAGAGCCAGTTCATGGTATGAGAATTGTTCTTAGGAGATATTTTTTTTTTTTGTCTTCAGAAGGTTGAAACTTAGGCCAGCATCGAAGTAGTAATGGCTGGTGAATTATTAAATATGCGTGAACTTCTTCTTTTAACACAGTGAAGGACACAAGTACTCATTCAATAATATGTAACCTTTTTTAGTGTATTCTTTGCAAGCATCCCATGGCAGTATATTATTATTGCCCTGCTTTTGTGCAGAATTTAGTGTGTATAGTTCATTATCACCTTAAAGAAAAAAGTTGAAAAATAAAAATAAAATAAAAAATCTAGTTTTTAAAAGAATGTGGCACTGGGCAATGGAGGCACATGCTTTTTATCCCAGCACTTGAGAGGCAGAAGTAGGCAGATCTCTGAGATTGAGGCCAGCCTGGTCTAGAGAGTGAGTTCTAAGACAACCAGGGCTGTTATCAGGAAAACCTTCTCTCTGGAAAAAAAAAAAGAAGAAGAAGAAAAAGAAATAGAAAAAAGATATGGCTTTACTAGACATAATTTGATATTTGAATTTTTATTAATTTTTTAAAAAATGTGTATGGGTGTTTTTTTACACGTATGTTTGTGTACCATGTGCATGCTTGGTACCCAGGGAGGCCAGAAGAAGGCCAGAAAAAGGATGCCCTAGAACTGGAGTTACATACAGTTGTGAGTTACCATATGAATGCTGAAAATTGAACCAAAGCCCTTTGGGAGAACTGGAGAGTTCTTAACGGCTGAGCCATCTCTCCAGCCCCTGCTCTTTGAATTTTAAATTGTGTGGCTTTTATTTCTTGCATCCTATAAGCAGATGATTAGTAGAGAAGGAGAAAAGTGGATTTCTTTAGCCCTTGGAGACTGGGAAGAAGACAAGGTGACATTACGGCTGGGTGACATCGTAGTGTAAGACAGTTAGCTGATGGGAGATCTTAAACTAGTCTTGCTGTGCCTTTTGTCTTAGGGATTTGGAGGGCAGTTGCCTGCTTTGTCTCATTTCAGTTTTACACTGTAAGATAGATGCTGTCGTAATTTATATTTAAGGAAACTAAGGCTTAAGAAAGTTGCTTGCCAAATATCTAGTAAGTGGAACTTGATTGGAATTATTTTTCTTTCAAAGCCCCATCTCCTAACGGTTAGAGAAGATTGTGTAAGGATGGAGAGAAAGACTGTAGAACATTGCTTTGTACAACAAAATCTAGGTTTCATGGATATGAGGGAAGAACAGTCAGAACTTATTTTAGAAAACTGATCAGAGGCCAGGCCTGAAATTTGTTTTCTCTGTGGTTTTTCTCCTTGGAGAGATTCAAGCATGAGAAACCATAGAAGAGTTTTAAGTGGGAGGTTATATAATCATGTTTGAGAATTGCTAAGGTAATGATAATGGCTGACCATTAGGGAGGGAGGGTAAGGATCTAAACTTAGTCACTTCATAAGTGATGTAGAATGGATTTTAAAATTCCTAGAAGGTGAGATTAGAAGTCTTTAGAGCTGGAGAGATGGCTTAGTGGTTAACACTTACTGCTCTTACAAAGAACTGCCATTTGGTTCTCAGCAGCCATACATGCTAACTCCAGCTGGTGACCACGACCTCATCTGGTCTCCCCAGGCACATGTTGACACACACAAGGACACATATCTATACACATAAATAAAAACAAATCTTTATTAAAAAACATTTAATAATGGCTACTTATTTATTATCATGAAAGAGTGTGCTGATTTCTAGACTCTGTTGTACAGAAATAAGACCATCAATGAGAGGGGAATTGTGTAAGTATATATGAGAGTAAGGCATGTCCAGACACTGAGAAATGGGGAGGGTAAATCAAAATAAAGGTCTGGATTTAGTAGTAGAGCGAGAATGAGCTGGATTGTAACTGCTGACCTGAGGCTGGCAGTTGCTGCTGTTTATATTGTTGTCGCTTGAGATGGCTGTAAGAATCGTTAGGGATCAAACTTAGGACTTTGCAAACCCTAGACAGGTGCTCTGTATCTCCAGCCTGTGTTTAGTACTAAAAACTAAATGTGTTAAAGTTTGTTTAGATGAAACTTATTTAATGATTCATGTCTAACGATATTTAATATTTCTAAGGATACAGACAATTTCTTTTAAAGTATACTTGTTAATTCATTTGTAGGAAATGTGTACTGTTGAAGAGCCCAATGAAGAGTTTACATCTAGACACAGTTTAGAATGGAAGTTTCTATTTCTGGATCACAGGTAATGTCACCTTTAAATGTCACAAAAGAAAAAGAAAAGACCGTAATTATGTAATTCTGGTTATTAATGGACTACAGGGACAAATGTTCTAAACAGAATTTTGAAATTCATTATTCATTCTGGAAAAATGTAAATGCACTTCTCAAATTAATTTATGGCTGTGATGTCTCTTGTAGAAAAGTTGTAATACTGATTATTTATTTGTTGTTTGTTTGTTTGAGTTTTTCGAGGCACGGTTTCCCAGCAGCTATGGATGAGTCCTGGAATTTGCTCAGTAGATGAGGCTGGCCTTGAACTCACAGAGATCCACCTGCCTCTACCTCCCAAGTGCTGGGATTAAAAGGTGTACACCACCACCACCTGGCAATACTGATTGTTTTTATTGTCATTAAATAATTTAGGGCACCACCAATAATAGGCTATTTGCCTTTTGAAGTTTTGGGAACATCAGGCTATGATTACTATCATGTGGATGACCTAGAAAATCTGGCAAAATGTCATGAGCACTGTAAGTAAATCTTAATGTTTCTCTGTTAAGAACTATTTTAAAGCACACAGATAGATACTCTGTTCTATTAATGAGACTGAGGAAAGATTTAGAACTGTTTTTTTTCTAAACATATACAAAAGAAAATCTTACAGTACATTAGAGAAGTACATAGTTTCCCAAATCAGTTTAACCACAAAACCCAGTTTTTGCCTAACTTCAATTAAAGTACTTTAGAACCTAACATTTGAACTAGTTTGGGAAGTTCCACTTAACAATGATTGCAAACATTGGCATTATTCTGAGTTTTGGTTAATAAGAGCTTTATAATTAGATGCCTCAGGTATCATAGGTGTTAGTGTCTGTGAGAAAGTACAGTCGGTATGATTATGAGCTGTTGTTTCCCTACATGTTGTATATCTGGGCATGAACAAGTTAGTAGTTTGAGTCTTTCAGTATATGGGATTTGTTATGAATGAAGAAATGTATAAGATGAGCAATGATTGACTATAAAGTTGGAAACTGGGGGATCTGGTTATTTGGGAGACCTTAAGCTAGTTTTTAAAAAACATCCTTATAGTTGATACATTTTTCTGAAAGTTATCCAGAAAATAGTTCTATCTGTATAGAGTTAAAATGTAAATAAAAGCCTTTGTTTAAGAAATTTAGATTCTTATAGCTAAGTATATATCAAAGAAAAAAATACATGTTTCTTTTCTTTTTCAGTAATGCAGTATGGGAAAGGCAAATCCTGTTATTATAGATTCCTGACCAAAGGACAGCAGTGGATTTGGCTTCAGACTCATTATTATATCACTTACCATCAGTGGAACTCAAGGCCAGAGTTCATTGTGTGTACTCACACTGTAGTAAGGTAAATAATTCTCTAAAACATGTGTAGGGTGTGCTGAGAGCCAAATATAATTTTATGTGTAGTTTGTCAATGAATGATAGTGATCTTTTCCTAGTTTTAATACTTAATATTTTTAATAGTAAACTATTTAATAGTTAGAAATCTAATACTGGCAGTGCATAAGTATGTAAGAACTGACTTGAGTATTGTGCTGTAGCAGAAGCTGTACCAACATTCAAGCTGTGTAGTAGTATGAGCGGCGGGCTGCATTCCCGGCACCTGGCCGCCCACACTGCTAGCTTTACCCGAAATAATTACACGGAAACTGTATTCTTTTAAACACCGCTTGGCCCATTTCTATCTAGCCTCTTCTAGGCTAGCTCTCGCACCTGGACTAGCCCATTTCTAATAATCTGCTGTAGCCCACGAGCTGGCTTACCAGGAATGATCTTAACCTGCGTCTGCCTGGAGTGGGAGAATCATGGCGACTCACTGACTCAGCTTATTTCTCTCAGCCTTCTGTTCTGTTTACTCCACCCACCTATGTTTTAACCTATGAGGACCAAGCTGTTTCTTTATTGCTTAACCAATGAAATCAACAGATTGATATATGACACTCCCACATCAAAGCTGCAGTGCATGTCGTGAAAAGCATAAACCAGAGTAATGTCCTTCCTTCATTTAGTTCCTCTCAATTTACATGCTTAGTTCCTACAGGTCCTTCGTAGCATACCTAAGGCATATGTACACTGTACATATGTGTTAGGTTTGCTTAGCACATAGGAACTCATACAAAAGTACTGTGATCCAGAGAGAGATATAACTAGCACCAATTATTTGCATCTCTACAGTAATTTAAATAAATGGCAAACATTAAAATTTGATTCTTTCCATTTATAGTTATGCAGAAGTCAGAGCTGAAAGACGACGAGAACTTGGCATTGAAGAGTCTCTTCCTGAGACAGCTGCTGACAAAGTATGTTTCTTACAGCCTCTTTTTTAAATATTTCATTTCCTAATAATGTGTGAGAGAGATTTGGTTATCTTTATAATATTTATTTTTCACCTTTTAAAAAATACCATTTGCTTCTAAAAAGGAATTGAAGATCTTGCCATTTAAAACTTAATTAGGTGAGAGACATACCCAAAATAATATTAAAACTATCATTATAATTGACTTTGATGTGCTTGACTGTATTCCTTTTATAATTATAGACTATGATTTACTCCTTAGATGGCCTTTTCTGAGGTGATAACATACACTGTGAGAATACTGAGTAGTTTTAAGAGGGACCCTTCCCTAAAGACACGTGACTGGGAAATTATAGTTAGAATTGGAACTCTGGTTTCTTTTTGTATATCATGTGGAAACCAAGCATATCACCTGTCTGATTTGATGGAGAGAGAAGTAGAGACCCAAGAGTAGTATTCTGGAATATGTGTGGGAGTAAGTGCAGAGAGGGTTTCATCAGGGACAGATAGGTTTTCAACTCTATCAAACTGGCAGCTTATGACTTGCAGGTCACATCTGGTCTTCTGACTGATTTCACAACATCTATAAACTATAAATGCATTTTATATACTAAATACTTGAAAAATCCAAATAATAATAATGTTTTAATAATAAGGCTCCATGAAACAAGTATCAGATTCAAATTGCAGTGTTTATAAAGAACAGAACGACACCCGGTTGCTTATATTTTGTCTGTCGATATATTTGTGCTGCAGTAATTGAGTAGTGGTGACAGAGACTGTATGGCTGTGAGAAGCTGAGAGATTCACTCTCTGGGACAGTCAGTGTTACGGAGAGAGATGTCTGCTTCCTGGTTTATAGTAGCACACTGAGGCGTGGTAGATTACTTGAGGATCACATTTCCTCATCACGTTCTGCTCATGATTAGTGGTTGTTAGAATAGTGGGGAGCTTATGGCAAGGTTCTCAGTGAAATAAGAATTAGCTTAAGGAGAGGAGTTTGGGGTGTCACAAGGTTGGTTGGAAAGGGACGTAGGAAAGGGAATGTTGTTGTACGGAGGTTTACCGTCTGGATTGCAGGCAGATAAGAACCCTCGCAAGTTTCTTGATTATTAATTTGAAGTAAGAACAGTCAGTGTGCTTTGTTTCTTTGGCAATATTGTGCTGTGTAGGATAAGCAAAAGTGGTTTAACTATTGGGATTTTGTCAAGGAAATGATGATAAGAGGAAATAGGAGCTAGGGTATTGAGCATGTGTACACGGTTGTTAGAATATCAAACATAAATTTAAGATTCTTAACGGAAAGAGGACAAAATGAAAGTAATATATAGAAGTGTAGAGTCAATGTAACTTTGGCTTAAACCACAGGATTATTGGAATTAGGATACTTAGGGATGAGTAGGTAATGTGGCAAGTTTTGGTCAAAAATGAGGATACTTGAATTGAGGTAATGGCTTTGAGGTATGACCAAGAATTAGTGACTGAAGACTCATGGAGATTTTGAATGGGTGACACCAAGGACAAGAGCTTGCGGTGTTGGGTTTGAGTAGAAGTGATTCGGGATTACTAGTTCTGGGGAGCGCTGAGCCAGAAGTTAGAATGCCATTCAGGTGTATGTGTGAAGTCAGCACGGGAACGATACATGACCTCAAGAAACCGTGTGACATAGTGTGTGAGCTTAAGCTCCACACCACTGAGCTTAAGGAGGACGTTTCTTCATCCTGTGTAGTTAAGATCTGAGAGTCCTAAAATAGAAACTCCTATTTTTGATGGGAATTACACGGACATTGGTCAGGTCTGATTTTTAGAACTAACGAGTGAAATAAATAATCAGAGCTGAGGTGGAAAATGCAGAGCTATTTGTTATTATGCACTGTGAAGGTGGGTGGAAGGTTTCAGAGGTTAGGAAGCAGTGAGAAAAGGACTCAGATACAGGCTGGGAAGAGCTGCAAATTGACGAAGGAGGAGACAAGGCATTGAGTGACATGGCCTCCACCCCAGAATGAATAACTTTGAGAGCAAATATTTTGCAATTATATGTAGCCTTGAAATAGGATGTACACTTGTTTCTTGTTCACTGATGCATGATTGTACTCTGAGTATGGGATGGGGAGAAAGCACCAGTATATGTGTTCTGTCATAGAAGGTTCTGCTTTTGGTGGTGGGTAAGCCTGCCTAAGGCAAGGCTGTCAGTTGAGAGGGGAGACAAAGAATAAGGAACAGTGGGAAAGGTTTGGGATAACTCAAGAATAGAAAAATGAGCCCTTTAGTACACTTGGCAGTTCTGCTGACTAGACTTGAGCATACACTTGAAGTTAGTTACTTTTGATAGTTCCTTTTAAAATGTGGTAAAATGGCAATTTTATTGACTTTAAGGACACACTTCAACATTGTAACATTCCTGCAGCTGTACAGCTGTCATCAGCATCCATATCTAGAACCTTTTCATCCTCTTAAACATTAGCTGTGTTTGTTAAACAGCTTTTCACCCCTTCCCTCCAGCTCTTTTCATCTGTGGCTTTCTTTTTTAAATTTGACTACTCTTGAGTACCTCATGTAAGTAGAATCGTGCAGTGTTTGTTCCATTGTGACTGGCTAATTTTACTTGGTGGAATGTTCTCAGGGTTCATTATATCAGATTCCCCTTTGTTTTGCAGGATGGGTAATATTCTATTATATGTGTGTGTCCTCTTATTAATCACTGGAATCCTGGGTTGCCTTCACCTTTTATTTGTAATAATATGTGAACATAGGTAGGCATACAGACAGCTACTATAGTCCCTACTTCTTGGGTGTATACCAAGTAGTATACTGGATTATATGGTAGGTAACTCTCCATTAGATTTGAGAGAACCTGCCATACTGTTCTCCATAGAGGCCATGCCATTTTTCCGGTCCCTTTACCAAGCTATAAGAGTTCAAGATTCTTTTCATCTTTATCATACTGATTGATTTCTGAGAAGCTTTTGTGTTTGGTGGGAGTTTGTTGTTATTTTTTTGTTGTTTTATTTACAACACAAAAAACTTTGTAACATTGACAGCCAGGAACTCTATATAAACCAGGTTGACTTTGAACTCGCAGAGGAGATCTGTCACCCAAGTGTCTGACTTGGGTCTTCTGGTCCTAGCTATTCTAATAGAGCATGAGCTAGCGTGACCGGTTTTGATTTGGATTCCTCTGGTTAGTAAGTTTGAGCAGTTCATCAGGTGATTGTTTCCTTCTTGGAAAAGTATTTATTTTCATTCTCTCTCTTTTTTGTTTTCTTATTTATCTATTCATTCATTTATCTGTTTTGGATTTTTGGTTTTTTTTTTTTTTTTTTTTTTTTTGAGGTAGGGTTTCATACAGCCCAGGATAGCCTTGGGCTGGCTATGCAGCCAGGGATGACCTTGAATTCCTGATGATTCTGCCTCTGCATCCCAAGTGTTTTGATTACAGGTTTATACCACCTGTGCCCAACTTGTCCTCTTTTTGTTTGGGGGTTTTGTTTGTTTCTTGACAGGACATCTTGTTGTGTTGTCCAGGCTGAGCTCAAATGATCCTCTTACTAGCCTTTGCAAATACTGTGTTGAAAGGTACATACTCGCAGGTACAGTTGCTCACTCCTGTAATCTTAGTTTTTGGGAAACTGAGGCAGGAGGATTGCTACAGGTTTCTGGCCAGTAGTGTGAGACTTTTCTCAACAACAAACAGGAGTGCATCTTGTCACAAATGATGTGTTTTGTGTCCATTTTTATAACCGAGTTCTGTATTCTAGATATTTAGTCCTGATCAGATAATGATATATAAATATCTCCTTACTCTTGTAGATTATTTTAATTCTGTTGTCACCGGTGTTTTCTGATGCAGAAGTGTTTTTAATTTTGTGACCATTTCTTTATGCTTTCTTCAAGTGTTTTATGTTTAGTTTGTAATGTTTATGTCTTTGATGAATTTTGAGCTAATTTTTGAACATAAAACAAGAGTAAAACCTGAATCTTGTTATTTTTTTCTAAATAGAGAATGAAATCAAATTTTACAATATTAAAATAAGACTTTTTTCCTGACACGCATACATACACTCAGTTTTTAAACCTTGTAAAGCAAGGCTTCCGTTCCTTGTGCTTGCACACAGTCTCTCCAGCCTCTTGTCCAGCTGTGCTGAGACCATTTATTTTTTTCTCATCTCCTTAGAGCCAAGATTCAGGGTCTGACAACCGTATCAATACAGTCAGTCTCAAGGAAGCACTGGAAAGGTTTGATCACAGCCCAACTCCGTCTGCCTCTTCCAGAAGCTCACGAAAGTCATCTCACACAGCAGTCTCGGACCCTTCCTGTAAGTGCCTTGACCTGGGGACAAACGTGTGTTTCAAAGAGCTCTTCTAAATTATTTGTGTTGCTGATATCAGCACTTTTGTCCAGAGTTTTTCGAATTCTAGTTTTTTTTTTCAGTTTTGAAGTATAGAGTTACCTTTCTAGTAAGAAGCAAATTATTTATCTTTAGAAAAGATTTAAGGTCATCAGATGATGATATATAGATGGTAATATTCTGCTTACCTTTTAAATGATTCCCTTATAAGAAAAAATACTACCTTTCATTGTAAACCAGGTGCTTATCAGCCACATGTGAATGGTGGAAACAGAACCCTGGTCCTCTGCAATAATAAGGACTGTTAACCATTGAGTGTTCTTTAATTTATGGAGACTTGGGTAATTGCCTTTAAATTGTAGTTGATCCTCTGTATCTACAGCTGATAATAGGAAATGCCTTCTCCATTGTCTGTATGAGCATGTGCAGGCTTCTTTCTTTGCCATTATTCTCTAGTCCTATTACAGCTGTTTTATCAAGTATGCATTGTAGTAGGTATTAGTCATCCAAAGTTAATTTGAATTATACAGAAGAATGTACCTCGCTGATAAATACTATGCTATCTGCTAGAAGACACCTTAGTGTGCGTGGATTTTTATACCTGCAGGGAGCCTTGAAGCCTAGCTTTTGAGGGAATTGAGGAGAACGGGAGGAGCTGTTTTCAAAGTTTTTTGTCACACGTTTTCTTTGTCCTTAAAAACGAAGTAATTAAAATTACTCTTATAAACATGGATTTATCTATCTAATATCAGAAAGCTAACTTAGTCATTTCTATTCATAAAGCATATTTTGAGAATAACCATTCAGATCTATTTGTAAGCCCCAATTCTCTTCTTTTTTAACTAACTTCAGCAACACCGACAAAGATCCCCACTGATACTAGCACTTCTCCCAGACAGCATTTGCCAGCTCACGAAAAGACTACACAGCGGAGGCCGTCCTTCAGCAGTCAGGTATGCCTGTTAGCCAGCCCTAACAGCCTTCAGCAGTCAGGTATGCGTGTTAGCCGGCATCACAGCCTTCAGCAGATTCCCTGTTGCAGTAACAGATGACTAAGATACCCTTTCTGTAAGAATCACAATTTTCTGCAGACCTATGACATTCAAAATCTTTCCCATTTTATAGATAAAATGCTAGATAATTCTTTTTTTAATTGTGAAAAGTGCTAATTGAGAGCTATGAAGTTCCAGTTGCCTTCAGTTCAGTCCACCCAACTTCCAATTGAGTGTACATCCAAGGGCCTGTGCTGGGTACATGGGAAAGAAAAAAGAGTAGAAAGGGCAACGTACTTTGTACTCAACAAAATACAAGGTTGTGAATGATAAACACATTGTGTTGGTGTTTATGGTGGAAGTCCTCCTAGATGAGTATGAGCATCACTTCATTGTCATTTTTTATTTTGCTTCTAGTCCATAAACTCCCAGTCTGTTGGTCCATCATTAACACAGCCAGTGATGTCTCAAGCTGCAAATTTACCAATTCCACAAGGCATGTCACAGGTATTTTTGTTTGTTTTAGTTGAGCATTTACAAACGATAATTGCATTTAAGCAAATATGATTCTATTCATATGTATATATAAATACATATACTTATAAAGGCAGTAAATCTTAATTGGAAATATTTAGAATATGTAGTGACATTTTAGTTACCTACAATGATTTGGGTACCCCTGGACCCTTACTAGACAGAATCACAGGTGCATATATCTTTTAAGATTCTTGATGGTCTTATACAACAAAGAGTTTTCTTGCTTGCTGTGTTATAACATCTTATATATAACAACAGCTTATAGGTATGATCATTTTAAACATGAAATATACTAGTTCATTTTGTTCTTCCTATGACTATTGGAAGATTTGAGTAATTTACATATTAATTCATTTGTTTGCACATGGGGCATTAATTTCTATGTATGTATTGAGTTACATATATCAGGGATGCTGACAGTATTTGTAATATCTATATTAATAAGCCTCTTGATCTAGAATATATGATATATAATTAAAATATCATGTTATGCAGTCTACATACAAGACTTGGATCCTTAATACAGCTTAATCAAGTGTGAGATGCCAAGGGTGGTGGTACATGCCTGTCCTAACAATGTGGGAGGTGGGAGCCAGAAAATCAGGTGTTCAGGGTTTTCCATTGCTATATAGTGAGTTCACAACCAGCCGCCAAAAGCAAAACCAAAATAACAACACAAGTGAAGGAGAGCTGTTCAGAAATGTGAGATGGCCTGAGTCCAAGGAGAAGTGAGTACTGAAGTCAGCAAAAGAGGAGTTCCCAGCGCACTGCTGCCTTCTTAACTGGAGTTAGAGCTCCTTTAAAGTTTCAGAAATACTACCGACTTACAGTGGTAAATATAGTAGGAAATCTTCAGTTTATTTGACACTAAAAGCTGCTTGCTAGCAGCACTACCCTGTAAGAGCTCTATAACAGTACTGTATTATTAAATATCAAATTGAATCTTCAAATTTTATTTATTTTGAAGTATTGACAGAACTTTTATGTAATATGCAGACATAGTTTCAATATTATTTATTGTTTAATTTTATTATGAGTAAAATATTATCAACATCTTTATAGAGGTATTTTTATGAATATATAAGTAATATATACTATATCAAAAATGGTGCTAAGCATTCAGTCCTCCTGTTTTCATTGACTAAGTAAAGCTCAGTACTTTGCTTTTTTGTTCTGTGGATTTATTTCCTGTTATCCTCTATATTCTGTGCTTGTTTCTATTTTTTAGTTTGTGTATGGTAGAAATGCTTTAAATTGTGACAACATGACATTTACCTGTAGGAAAAAGTAATTTTAGTTACAATAAAATACATGTGTATGACATAAAAATAAATATAAAATATTTAACTAACATTTTTAAAAGGCATGAGAAAGTTGTACTAAATTTGTAATTTTTCTCAAGCCTAGTAGAATCTAATACATGATATCAGTTTGTTGTTGTCATCTTCAAAGGTCAAAGTTTCATTCTTTAAAAGCTATTATTCAGAAGCCAAGCATGATGGTGCAATACCTGATAGGCAGACGTAGGAGGATTACCAAAAGTTTGAAGCAAACCTGATGTATGAAAAGAGTTCCAATCCAGCCAGAGCTACACAGTGAGGCCATTTCAAGAAAATAAAAAAAAAAGTAATATTCAGCATCTTTAGCACAAGCGTAAAAAGAACTCATTAATTTAGGACAACGTTTTTGAAGATAGAATATGGAAGGGTAGGGTGGGCATTTCCTGCTTTTAGGTGCAGTTCACTGCAGGAAACTATGAAGTTAGATTTCCCATAAAGTGAAATGCTCTATTATTACATAGTACAAAGCTGTTCATGGAAATAAATGAGTAATGAGTCATCGCATGTGCCTAAATTATAGGAACAGCTTATTAATTGGATACAAAACCCCTGAATGTAGAATGACTTTCTTCATTCATGTGTATATTCATTCATAATTTCTTAGAATTCCTTAGTCTTTTAAAAAACTGTGTTTTAAACTGGTCTAAGGATAGTATCACTGAAAAGTAGTTTTTTCAAGACAGTATGAGAAGAAAATTATTGGTTATTTGTCAGATGTAAATAAGCGATTTTTGTATATGTGGAGAGGAAGGAAGATACTGGGAACTGAACTCGGGGTCTTGAACATCCTAGGGAAATGCTCTGTATTTGAGCCCTCAAGTCCTTTCTTTTTACTTTTTATTTTGAGACCCAGCCTTAAAGTGTTGCCCAGGCCAAACTTGAACTCACTCTGCATCCCATTTGTGATCCTCCTGCTTAGCTTTGGGTAATTCTGCCAATGTACACGCAGAGGGCCCTCTAGAGATGACAGTTTGCTTTGGGTTCATTCTCCTCTGGTAAAATGTAGACATGAAGGGAGTAGCTAAAGAACTTGTTTTGCTAAGTTGTTGAGGCACAGATGAGTTCAGGTTGTCTTTTCGCTTTCTTTCTTTTTTTTTTTTTTATTGAGAAAAGGAAAAAAAACAAGTTTCTGCCTCCTCCCAGCCTCCCATTTCCCTCCCCCTCCTCCCACCCTTCTCCCCCTCCCCCCAACCTTCTCCCCCTCCCCCCAACCTTCTCCCCCTCCCCCCACCCTTCTCCCCCTCCCCCCACTCCTCTCCCCCTCCCTCTCCAGTCCAAAGGGCAGTCAGGGTTCCCTGCCCTGTGGAAAGTCCTAGGTCCTCTCCCCTCCATCCATATCTAGGAAGGTGAACATCCAAACTGGCTAGGCTCCCACAAAGCCAGCACATTAAGTAGGATCAAAACCCCATGCCATTGTCCTTGGCTTCTCATCAGCCCTCATTGTTCGCATGTTCAGAGAGTCCGGTTTTATCCCATGCTTTTTCAGTCACAGTCCAGCTGGCCTTGGTGAGCTCCCAATAGATCAGCCCCACTGTCTCAGTGGGTGAGTGCACCCCTCGTGGTCCCGACTTCTTTGCTCATGTTCTCCCTCCTTCTGCTCCTCATTGGGACCTTGGGAGCTCAGTCCAGTTGTCGCTTTCTTTTTTTAAGAGTCGCACTCACTTTTTAGCCCTGACTGATCTAAACCATTCTGTGTAGACCAGGCTGGCCTCAACCTCACAGAGATCCACCTGCCTCTGCCTCCTAAGTGCTAAGATTAAAGGTGTGCGCCAGCATACCTAGAAGCACTCACATCTTCTAGCTGCAGATTGTTCTGTAATTAGTCAAGATCGAGTCAGAAGTCAAAACCATACCACCAGAATTCAAGCAGAGGTAATATAAAGATGTATTAGCTAGTCACTGGGAGAAGAATCTCTAAAAAAATGCTAAGAATAGGAAGGTAAGCCAGATAAGCCCGACAGCCTGAGTTCTGCCCCCAGACCTGCGTGGTAGAGGAGAGAACGGCTCCTCCAGGTTGTCCTCTGACCTACACACACATTTTGTGACATGTGCCCCTCCCCATGTAGTAATTGTAACTTTAAAAAAATGATGTGAGGCCGGGCGGTGGTGGCGCATGCCTTTAATCCCAGCACTCGGGAGGCAGAGGCAGGCGGATCTCTGTGAGTTCGAGGCCAGCCTGGTCTACAAGAGCTAGTTCCAGGACAGGCACCAAAGCTACAGAGAAACCCTGTCTCAAAAAACCAAAAAAAAAAAAAATGATGTGAGAATCACCACTCTCATAAATCAAGGGGAGCACAGCCAAAAACGGACGTACTGACGCAGCCTCCTGAGCAGCTCTTATTCTGCACTAGATGGGTTTCTTGTGGCTGGAGCCACTGAGTAGAGAAGTGCACTGAGCTGTCATGGAAGGAGGCCATCTGTTGGGAAAGTGAGGCTTTCTGGGTGAGCCAGGGGCGTTACAGGGGGAGGAGCAGCTACCACTGGCACATGGTGACAGAAGAGAAGGGCCCCACCAGCACCAGGAAGATAAGCACTTCTGCAGCAGCTTCCTAGGGGTCTGCAGCAAAGACACTGATTTTGAAGTCTAGCTCCAGTGTCACAAGGAGAATAAAGATGGCAGTTTGGGAACTGACAATTCTGGTCTCTTGGCACTGCTTGCTTTTCACAGCGCACAGGTATTAGGACCAGGGAATTCTAAGATGTGTTATGCTTTCTTTACATGTACTGCTACAGTTTCAGTTTTCAGCCCAGTTAGGAGCCATGCAGCATTTAAAAGACCAGCTGGAGCAGCGGACACGGATGATAGAGGCAAATATTCATCGGCAACAAGAAGAGCTAAGGAAAATCCAAGAACAGCTTCAAATGGTCCATGGACAAGGGCTTCAGGTAAATTATTCTGAGCACAGAGAATCTCATTCACAGTTTGGGTTCCTAAAAATTGCCTCCTCCCACTTAAATGAAAAGTTGGATGCAAGAGGTGGATTTTTCCCAGTTCAGTACACATTTGTAGTAGGGGGCTGCTTAGACCCGAAATAATCACCCAGAAGCTATATTATTTACAACATTGTTTGCCCAATAGCTTAAGTGTGTTGCTAGCTAGCATTTAGAATTAACCCATCTCTATTCATCTGTGTATTGCCTCATGGCTGGCTTACCAGCAAGGTTCTGGCTCGTCTGTTCCCAGTAGCTACATGGTGTCTCCTCACTCTGACTCTGCCTAATATATATATCTTTCAGCCTTATGTTCTGTTAAGCCATTGGCCGAAAGCAGCCTCTTTATTCATTAATCAATAAAAGCAACACATATATAGAAGGACTTCGCACACCACACATTAGCTATCTGCTCAATTCTAGAACCTCCAAAGATACTCATTCTAAGGGCATTACTATCAGCATCGTTGCTTTTTACACTAACAAACTTCAATTTTAGTAAGTTCAAATCCATAATTAAAAAAGTTTTACTTTGTAGAACCTTTGAGGTAGAGAGTTTATATGTTTTAGTAAAATGCCAATAGATAGGATTCCTATTACTTGACTAAGACATTATGCTTACTACTTGACTAACAGGGATGTGTAGGGAACTAGGGCTTTGCTGAAGGGAAACTAGGTGAACACTCTTCTGTGTACTGTCACGAACTTTGAGTGATGGATGGTGCAAAGCTGCCAGCAGCAGCCCTTTGACAAGCACTGGATAGCACGGTTGATCTTGTGGCTGAGAGAGAATGAATGTGTATCTTCATAGTTCATTGTTATTATTGCTAATTGCTCTTGCAAAATGTGCTAATTACTTGTTACTTGACTGTTAAACTTCATTTTGCTTGGCTTCTTTCAGTGTTTCTCCTTGGTCTTTTTGTTTGTTTGTTTTTTATTTAAAAACTGTAATGCTTATTTAGTCTGGGAATGTAGCTTATTGGTAGAGTGTTTACCTAAAATTCTTGAGGCCCTGGTTTGATTCCCAGCACCCTCACAAAAAAATGTAATTAAAAAGTGTGTGTGTGTGTGTGTGTGTGTGTGAGAGAGAGAGAGAGAGAGAGAGAGAGAGAGAGAGAGAGAGAGAATGTGAGCATGTGTGTACTACAGAATATATGTGGAGGTCAGAAGATAACTTTGGGGACTATATTTTTTTTCCTTCCACCATGGGATCCAAACACCAAACTCAGACTACCAGGCTTGTGCAGCAAGCTGAGTCTTCCTGCCAAAGAAAGTTCACTGAAATGTAATCTTTATTTTCAAAGATGTTTTTGCAACAATCAAACTCTGGATTGAATTTTGGTTCCGTTCAACTTGCCTCTGGAAATTCCAATATCCAGCAACTTACACCTATAAATATGCAAGGCCAAGTCGTTTCTGGTAGCCAGATTCCAAGTGGAATGAATACTGGACATATGACCACAAACCAGCATGTGATACAACAGAATCTACACAGTACGTCAGCTCAGGTAACAGACCAGAATGTCTGCCTAAAGCTCTGTGTTGCATCAGCTGCTAAATATTAATAAAAATTAGAACATACAATATTGACAACGATCACTAAAGTATTTTGTAGAAAATGTTACTATTAAATATTTTGATATTTAAGAATTTTATGTTTTATGGACCTAGTTTAATAATTATACGAGATTCTTAAAACATGTAAACTTCCTGTATGTAAAAGTCTTTGATTTGAAAGAGCTTCTTGAATAGCAAGTATACTGAATAGAATGTTGTGGAACTGGAAATAGTTTAATCATTCTGTAGAATTCTGATAATTAATTATTGTTCATCTGTTACTATATTTGAAAAACATACTATGTGACCATCACTGACTCGCTTTGAGCCTTTAACAGACGTCTCCCGTGCATGTTTTTTACTTCCTGTTAAGATCATACTTCTTTTAAAGTATTAGCTTACTTTTCATCAAAGAATCCAGACTAAGTCAACTATTCCAAATCCGCCTTTTTTGTATTTCTCTCAGAATAATATATTTTGCTAGTCCATTTCTGTTCTGTCAGCCATTGTCAAATGGTGAATAGTAAAAGCATACCGTCCTATAACTGTTAGATAATCTCTGTAAAATCTTCATTTCCAACAGAGTCAACAGAGTGTAATGAGTGGACATAGTCAGCAGACGTCTCTTCCAAGCCAGACGCCCAGCACTCTCACAGCCCCACTGTACAATACAATGGTGATCTCCCAGCCTGCGGCCGGGAGCATGGTCCAGATCCCATCCAGTATGCCCCAGAACAGTACGCAGAGTGCTACGGTAACCACGTTCACTCAGGACAGACAGATAAGGTGGTTGTCATACTTCAGTTATTATTTTCAGAGCTGTAAATTTATTGAATAAAAACAACCTGTGTGCTCAGTGCTTAAGAACACTTGCTTCTCTTCCAGAAAGACAAGTTCAGTTCCTAGCACTCCCCTTCTGCAGCCACAGCTCCTTAACTCCAGCTGCAGGGTTCTCATGACCTCTTCTGGCCTTCTGCATGCCTTCATGCATGCGGCAGACACAGGAAAAGAAAACCATAGAAACAAGAATATAAAAATATCTACATGGGCTAGTGATACAAGTCAGGAGTAGAGAAGTTGCCTGTGTGAACAGGACCCTCAGTTCAATCCTCAATATTTCACTTTTCTCCAAAACCATTAATTTCATTTTGTACCATGAAATTTTAGTTTATTGCTTACTATACCCATTTTTTAATTTTGAAGTAAATACTGTATCACTTATATTAAAGATTTAACAGAATAACATCAACATTTATTTTTCATCCCGAGCTGGGCTGTCAGATACAGAAGCCATTTTGTAGTCACTGTCACACAAAGCTTCAGTGGGCTCTGTCCCCATGCTGCTGGGGTCGTAGTGAAGCATTAAGAGAGCAGCACTGGGGTCCCAAGCTGAATGAGCTGGCTTGTATTTTGGGGAGCCCGGGAAGAGGGAACATATTTCAATAGATATTTCCTTTCCACAGGAAATGAGACATTAATGAAAATAAGAGAATAACCAGCTTGCATATAGTTGGTGTGATAAAGATTTGGCAGACTTTATAGGGGAAGAGATGAATTTTATGGTTGAAGTAAACAAATGAAAAGTGTGGTCAGAACTTGTTGGCCTTTGTCATAAAGAAACATGGCTTTAAAGGACTGGGGTTCAATCATTTGCACTGCAGAAATAACGCATTTTTGGTTGTGTGGATGGTATTAGCAATAAAGCACACATCTGTAGACTTCCTGCTTTTGTGCTGTGGCTCTCTCATGTCTGCCCTAGTCGGCTACTCCCTTGTCGTCAGTTCTAGCAGTGAACTTCAGCAAACGGGAAAGGCCAACAGAAGGAATACTGTCACCAGAGAATGGAAGAGAAGAGAAACTAGTCAATTCTGACCATGAGTAATATTCTGTATTGATAAATTTCACTTTGATTTATCCTTTAAAATGTCACTTTTCCTTACATTTATAAAATAAAAATCTTGAGTATAATTTTCCTATAAATGTAAAATTTTTTAAAAGTGATTTTATAGTAGTTGTAATTTTCTCATGAATTGTTTGCCATTGAACTCTGCTTACCATATATTTAACTCCTAAGTATCTTGCCATTTTATAAAAAGTGAACTTTTACAGATTTAAAAGTTTTAATTGATAAAATATAGACAACAAAACTTCTGTATTAACATTTATTTATTTATTTTGGAGTTTTTTATTTTAAAAAAACTATCTTTTTTTCCTTATACATACCAATCCAAGTTCCCATTCCCTCCTCTCCTCCCATTCCGTCCACTTACCCTCACCCCACCGCCCCCCATCCACTTCACAGAGAGGGTAAGGCACATTGCTTTGGGATAGGTCAAGGCCCTCCCTGCTATATCTAGGCTGAGCAAGGTATCCATCCAAAGAGAATAGGTTCCCAAAAAGCCAGTACATGCAGTAGGGATAAATCCTGGTGCCACTATCAGTGGCCCCACAGTCAGCCCCAGCCATGTAACTGTCACTTACATTCAGAGGGACTAGTTTGACCTATGCTGGTTCCTTCCCTATCTGACTGGTGTTGGTGAGCTCCCATTAGCTCAGGTAAACTGTCTCAGTGGGTGTCCCCATCACAGTCTTGAACTCTTCGCTCATATTCTCACTCCTCCCACTCTTAAACTGGACTTTGGGAGCTCAGTCCAGTGCTCTGATGGGGGTCTCTGCTTCTGTTTCCATCAGTTGCTGGATGAAGGTTCTATGGTGATATTTAAGATAGTCATCAATCTGACTACAGGGCAAGGCCTATTTGGGCACCTTCTCCTCTGTTGCTTTGAGTATTAGCTGGGGTCATTCTTGTAGACTGCTGGGAATTTCTCTAGAGCAAGGTAGCCCCATAATGGCTCCCTCAATCAAGATATCTCTTTCCTTGCTCTCATCTTTGTCCTTCCTTCATCTCAACTATCCTGGTCCCTCAAGTTCTTCTCTCCCCCTCCCCTTCCACCCTCCTTTTTCCCCACCCCCATGCTCCCAGTTCCAGGTGGTTCTATGTATGTTTTTCTTAGGGTTCACTTTGTTACTTAGCTTCTCTAGGATCATGAACTATAGGCACAACATCCTTTGTTTATAGCTAGTATAAGTGAGTACATACCATATCCATCTTTTTAGGTCTGGATTACCTCACCATCCATTCACATGCATTTTGGGTTTGTTGTTGTTGTTTTGAGACAGGATTTCTCTGTGTAGCTCTGACTGCCCTGGATCTCCCTTTGTAGACTAGTCTCACCCTGAAATCTGCCTGCCTCTGCCTCCCAGGTGCTGTGATTACAGGCATGCAGACTGCTACCTCGCTATGTGTTAACCATTTTAAAGTGTGCTGACCTGTGGCCTTGAGTATATCCACACGTGGTTCCAGCTATCACCCTCAACCATCTTCAGAGCATTTTTTATCTTTCCAAATTGAAACTCATTAAACAACTCCTTAACCTTTCTGCCTGTTGATTTTGGCAACCACCATTCTCTTTTCTGATTATATAAATTTGACTGCCTAAAGATACTTTGTGTAAATTAATTACCCAGTAATTTATCTTTTTGTAACTTGTATTTCACCTAACAGAATATTCTCAGGGCTCATCTTTGTTTTCAGATATCAGATTTATTTTAAGGCCAAGTGTTCTTCTGTATGTTGTACATAGGTAGCATTTTCCTTACCGTTCTGCCAGTGGATCCTTGGGTTGCTTCCATACCTCAGCTGCTGTCAGTAAATACAGCTGTGCACAAAGCATCCTCATGTGAGCTTCCTGCCTTTTGCATTCTCTGACTTAGTGCTCAGAAATGGACTTCTTTTAATTCTTTGAAGAACTGTTACAGGGTTGTCCTAAATGTTTAGGGTTAGTTGGTTGGTTTTGTTTTTGTCAACGTGACACAAGCTAGCGTTAGTAGGAAGAAGAATCTCAATTAAGAAAACAGAATAGCTCTATCCTGTTGTCTGTAGGCAATTTCTTGAAGAATGATTAATGTGGAGGGGCCCTGCCTATGGGGCAGTGCAGTTCCCTGCAGATGGTTCTAGGCTGTATGAGAAAGCCAGTAAAGGGTGCTTCTCTGTTCTCTCAACTTCAGTTCCTCCCTCCATTGTTCCTGCCTTGGCTTTCCTCAGTGGCCTGTGACTTGGGATTTTGTAAGCCAGATAAACCCTTTCCTCCTCATGTTGCTTTTTGGTCCTGCTGTTTTATCATAGCAATAGAAAGCAAATTAAGACAACAGTTTTCCTAGTCTGTTAATTTTTCTGTAATAGTGAACTGTTTGGCACACAGTGGCTTTCCATCGCTATTTTCATTTCTCTAATGATTAGGTCTAGTGAGGACTTTTTTTTATGTGTCTCTTGTCTATTAGTATTTTTTGGAAAAAAACGTTTAACTTTTGTCCAGTTTTTAAATGTGTTGAGTGTTGTTTGATTGCAAGAGTTCTTTATATGTCTGGCTAAGCTTGATGTCATCCAATTAATTTTTTATTTAATGTTACCTACCTGTGCTTTTGGCATTGATAGTGATATTGTTGCCAAGCCCAACATCATGAAACTTGTGTGCCTTTTTTCTTAAGAGTTTTGTAGTTTATATCTTATGTTTAGATCTTTTATTCATTTTGAACTAATTTTTATATATGGCATGGCAGGTCCTTCATTATCTTGAATATGAGTATTTTTTAAAGTTGTTTTGCTGTGTCTGTTTTTGTTGTTATAATATGTTTTATATTACAAACTGTGTGTGTGTATGTACTGTTTGTTTGACTGATATCCCCCCACACACCAAGAAAGAGCCCTTTAAAATTGTTTTTGGTGCTGGAGATTGACCCCAACATGCTATACAAGCAAGCACTCTGCCACTAAACTATATCCCTAGCCTCCAAGGAGAATCTCTGAAAATAGAAACTAGGAACATATGCTTTTATAAAATAAATTAATCATTTCATTGGGTATTATCTAAGATAAATATTTAGCTGACTTGAGTTATGCTTGGTCCTTTTGATGCCATTTCTTTGTTTTCTCTCACAGATTTTCTCAAGGTCAACAACTTGTGACCAAATTAGTGACCGCTCCTGTAGCTTGTGGGGCTGTCATGGTACCAAGTACCATGCTTATGGGTCAGGTGGTGACTGCCTATCCAACCTTTGCCACACAACAGCAACAGCAGCAGCAGCAACAGCAGCAGCAGCAGCAACAGCAGCAGCAGCAGCAGCAGCAGCAGCAGCAGCAGCAGCAGCAGAGCTCCCAAGAGCAGCAGCTTCCTGCAGTTCAGCAACCATCTCAGGCCCAGCTGACCCAGCCACCACAGCAGTTTTTACAGGTAAGTCTCACCATGGGGAAGTCGCCTTGAGCTGATTGCCTATTTTATAACCAAACAAGATGATAAATGAACAGCTTTGTAAAAGACCTGGAAAATCTGTAAAGGCTTTTTGTAGGATTTAAATATCTATAAAAATAGAAAGCTTGTCCTAATAGGCTATTTTATCTTTTCTTCTTCAGTCTTGGAAGGCTTTTAAAACCTTGTCTAGCCAAACTTCTAGTTATCTGAACTTCTGGCCAGAGTAAGTGGCCTACTTCCTGACCATATCAAATCACTTATTAAGCCCATTTTCTCTCTCAGGCTAGTATTTCAAGAATTTAATAAAAAAGCCCCATTTTCTTTCTTTAATACCTTCAAACTACTCTTCACTGAGCAGGTACATCAAGAAGAATCCCTTTTTTAGCCTAGGAGTTACCTTAATCATCAGATAAAATTTTATTAGATTGTGATTTTGTTGTGTTTGTTGTGCCTGGCCTGGAACTCATGCAGATCTGCATTCTGGGATTACAGGTATATACCATGCCAGATTATTGAAATTTTCTTGTAGGTGCAGTATAGTTTGTCACTAGAACTTAGGCTCTAAAGTCAGGTTCCCATCAAATTGAGTAATTGCTATACCACATACACATGACCTTTACGATAGCACTTAAACTTGTTAAACCTCATTAATGCATTGGTGTAATAGTTTATACTTCATAACACTGTAAGGTATATAGCTAGCTGTCATTGATGACCATGATACTGGCAAATGTGGTAAGACATTCATATTAATGACAAAACCCACCCAGATGCCATGTGGATAAACCTATCCATAGGTCCAGAAGAAAGTCCCCGTGGGTTAGGATCCTCAGCTAAGAACCAACAGAACTGGTTTCTAGACTCTAGTGTTGGGGAATCTGGTGTTTTTTCTACAAGAGGCCATCTGGGCTAGGTGGAATTCTTATTTTGGTAACATGGAATACTGAAACAGCCTTATTGCTTAAATATTTCTGAGTCACACCCACAGGACTTAAGTCTGAACTACTAAAATTAATAACTGGGTTAGCTATTGTTATAAATAATAAAACAAGTCTTAGGCTATTATTTAGATGATAATATATAAATACACACATATATAATATACAATATTACATAAAAAATCTCCAGTGAGATTTAAACAAAGCTTTAAAAAATGTGATTTGCCTTAAGGTCTAGTATTTTGAATCTATCAAAGAAGACAGGCCTTTAAAAAGAAGGAGTGTTTGGGACCAGGGAGACAGCTCAGTAAGTGAAAGTACTATCTTCTGAGCCTGATGTTCAATCTCAGATTTCTACATAGTGAAAGGAGAGAACTGACTCCCACAACTGTCCCATGACTCCCACATGTGAACCCTAATAGTTGCACACACAAACAGAATAAATGTTTATAAAATGAAAATCCTCTTCTTCCTTGTCCCCACCGCAAACATGCATCCCCAAAACACAAGAACTTTGATAAATACATAATTTGGCTTTTCTAATGGACCTCTGTTTGAAAATGTACTTGGATTGTAGTCAGGGAAGTAAATGCCATAAATTCATTTGACTTACCAAGACTTTCCTGGTAGCAAATCAAGAAGAAAAATTGTAAGTAAGGTCCTTGTCAAGTTTCGTCATCTCACGGTTTAAGTCTGTCCTTAGACTTGAGTACATAGGTTTTCTTCATACACATTTGCAAATATTACTAGTTTCAGTTCAAGGATGTCTCAGTAAGTGTGTGCTGTCTTCCAGAAGTTGTTCACTTGAAAATTCTCCCACTGTCTCAGCTAGTCCCTTTTTGTGAGCCAGGAGTCAAAACGTGACTAAAGAAACACTCAGAGTTGAGGCTTTCAGGTCTGACATGTGGATTAGTGATGGTAGACCAGTCCCTGTTTGGGGGAGGGGTTATTTTTGTTTTGTTACTTCATAAGGCCACATAGGACTTCAGCCTCCAGCTGTGCCCTCCTTTTTTCTATAATGTTTGTACAAACTCAGCATCATAGATACTTGTACTGAGGGTAGGAGTAGACCGCTTGATAGTGTCACACATCTGCAGGTGGACCAGCTCAATTTAACCAAATCTACTTAAGGCCTATGCTTTTATGACTACTCCGGTTGGGGGAGGGACGCTAGTGTGTGCAGGTGCAAATGTGTGGAGGCCAGCAGTCAGCCCTCAGGTCTTGCTCCTTAGTCTACCTTGTCTTTCTGAAACGGCCTTATAGGAACCTGGGGCTCACTTACTAGGCTAGGTTGGCTGACCAGTGAGCCTCAGGGATCGTCCTGTCTCCACCTCACCCATACTGGGATTACAAGCACTTATGGGCAGAGCTATTTTTTTTTAACTCTGGTCTTGTTCTTAACCAGCAGGCAGACCTATGTGCAGATGGCACTGTCTGTATGACCAGGGAGTATCCGTGTCTTATACAGACATAGCTGTGCTCCAGTTTTTCTGCCTAAATTTGGGCCTGGAGGAAATAAAATAAAAATATGCAGTTTGTCTCAAGACAGTAGTATTTTATACTATTAAATTCTCAGCACAAATTCTTTGAATTAAATTTTATTATGCTTTCAGAAAGAAGGTAAGGCTTCTGTTTTCCAAAACCAGTTTTTAGATTAGTGAACAAAATGAGAATTTAAAGTTCTTGTCCCTGTGGACAGTGGACAATGTGAATGGACAGTGTGAAGACATAAAATCATGTGCATAATCCTCCTTTTGTTCTGTAGACACCTAGGTTGCTCCATGGGAATCCTTCCGCTCAGCTCATCCTCTCTGCTGCCTTTCCTCTACAACAGAGCACCTTCCCTCCGTCGCATCACCAGCAACACCAGCCTCAGCAGCAGCAGCAGCAGCTTAGTCGGCACAGGACTGACAGTCTGAGTGACCCTCCCAAGGTCCAGCCACAGTAGCACACACACTTCCTCTCTGACACTAGAGAGGAAGGGGATGGCCAGAAAGTCACTCAGATGACATACGGTTAGAAGTTTGGCAGTTCTGTGAGGGTAGTCTTGAGTGTTCCAGTTCCTGGATTAGTTGGTAGGGAGATGCTGCCCAGTGCTACAGATGTACATTAAATACCAGCCAGTGGGGGATTGTAGGGACACAGCCAATCGGACAGTTTCTTTGCCCAGATATTTTTTTGATGGAGAAAGAGTATATTGCCAAATGTTAACAAGCTCAACTATCCTGACCTTTACTGAATCAGAAAAGCACTGACAGTGTTGGTAGCTTTAGTGGTTCTGTGCCTGGTATCAAATGTTACAGAGGACACACCACTGCCAGGGGTTTGCTTAGATCCATGAAGATAGTCCAGTAGTAAGTAGTCCCCACCCCAAACTCTCCTCCCTTCTCAGATAATGATGGATCAGTGATTCCTTTCAGAATGTTGTGCAGGTTTGAATTCTCTGTATAGACGCTCTATAGATGTGTCTGTGTCTGGATGGAGGAGAACAAGCCTTCTTTGCGCAGCATGAAAGCATTATCTGTCCCTTACAAGGTATGAGTACATTTCATTAGATTTTGACACCATGTACAAACTGATAACAGCCTCCTTTTCATTTTGTTTACAACATAATAGTGTTCTAGTCACTTTTCCAGGGCACAAGTCTTTTTGTTCGTGCTTTGGCTGTGGTGTCACAGTTTGTTCAGTGAGATATAATGTGCTGCTGGGAATGGATTTTTTTTTCAGGTTAAATTATTGCTACATTTCCATTTATTCAGAAATATCCCTATTTCATTATTTTAATTATGTTTGAAAATAGAATTGCACTGTTTTATTTTGGATGGTTGGTTGAGAGTTTGATCATGTATTTTGATATGTTTCATAGTTGGAATATTTATGTAAATGGTTTTCAACAAGCCTGAAAGTGATTTCAAGAATGTTTCAGTTATAAGAGTCAAATTTGCACACAGAACATTTTAGGCACTTTTTAACATTCTCAGTGGTGGGAATTTTAACTTTTAGGATTTGTTGGAATCTTTTTATTATCCTTAAAAATTTCAATGCTTCTTTTAGTCAAAATGATTCAGGGTTATTTGAGGGGGAAAAACCCATAGTGCCTTGATTTTAATTCAGGTGATAACTCACCGTCTTGAACTCATTGTCTGGTTTCAGTAGCAGTTTTGAAACCTTAGTACATTTTTAGCAGCATGTGGGTCTCAGTGTCATTCTCAAGTTCCCATGAAGACTGCTACGTCTCATGGGCCACCTGAATAGGATCACAGTTGTTAATGTGATCCCAAATTTATTTCCAAATTGTTTCTTCCTTTAAGGCTAAATAGTCCTTTAAGAATTACTGGTAAACACTTGCTCAGAGGAAGGGTAGGAATTGCCTTTAACCTTCGTCAAACCACGACTGTAACTCACATGCTTTCTAGACAGGAATTAAGATTTCATCTGGCAATATCATACTTTACAGGTAATAAACTCCAACGAAGTTACATAGATTTTAAAAAGCATTTTTTTTTTAGATTTTATGGTACTAATAATGAAATTTTCAATTATAGAACAAAAGAGAAAGAGAAAATAGAATATAAAACATTACTGGGAAAAGGGAAGACAAGTGTGGCAAATTAGAATTGACCTTAGAAGAAAGTATGTACCGGGTGAGGCTGTTAAGCAGAGGTTCTCAGCAGTGAAAATAACCTAATGCAGAATTCCTAGATAAGGGCTCTGGGAAACACGTAGTCAGTTATCTGTCCTCAGCTTTGTTGTCATCCTTAAGTATGTCTTTGTTTTCCTGTTTACCTGGCTGCAGTTAAGTTAGAAAGTTAGTGGTGAAAAAGAACACAACCAAAGAAAATTGGTACCTACCCTTCTGCAAAGAATCGTGGCTAGATACCAGTCAGTAACCGACATATCAGTCTTCTAGTTGACGCTCACATGGATACCCGAAGAGCGGGGAGAACACATGTATGTATATGCAAGCTTATACACACGTGATGAAATTAATGTGAAATAGAGCACCCACACTGCTTTTCTCCCCTTCCAAATTGCCTTCTTGATCTTACGCCATTCCATGTCATCTGAGTTGTGCCTCATTTACTTTTTGGCAATACCTAGTGATAAGGCTTTAGCTAACAGGAGATACAACGTACTAATTATGTAATTCTTGTTGTTCTCCACAGTTTATCTTCCTGCTTCAAAGCAGTTGATAAAGGAGCACCAAGCCACTAACTTAGGTGTCCATGTGGAGCGCGGTGCTGGGCAACACTTGTCAGCACCAACTGCCTCTCAGCTCCTTAATTCTTGCTTTCCCTGATGGCAAACTGTCCCTGTCTGTATCCTACATATAGACTTCAGCATTCTAATGAGGGTTGATCTGTTGCCTGCTCTTCATTTCTATAGCCAAAGTTATTGACTGAAACCTAAATCTAAAATCTAAATTATGAAAAGATACCAAATAGAAACACTTCTCAGCTTCTTATAAAGTTTAATGTCCCCTACTCTATTTCATGGGGATTCATTTTTCTTTAAAATTTGGATTCTGGGCAGCACTTTTTAGTTAAGAAATTGTTCGGGTGCGGGTCAGATAGGTTCTCGTTGCCCTGCAGGTACCTTGCTCTGGGCTGCTTCTGCATGGGGTGTTGCTGACGGTATGGGATGTTCTTGAGGCTGGCGTTAGCCCAGAGCCTAGACATTGGGAAGTACTCCTCTTTTCTTCCTTAGAGTAGTAACTATGGAGGGGCTGGGGAGCAGATGTGGTGGGTGGGGCTGCATACAACTGAGCACTACAGGCCCTTCCCCAAGCTCTAGAGTGCTGAGCTCTGCTGTCGCATAGACATGGCTTAGGAATGTACTAATAAAAGAACGCCTGTGTTTTTGAATAGTTTGTGATAGAAAACTGCAAACTAGTGTGTGTTTGAGTTGTGTGCTGTAGTTGGCCATTGCCTTAAAGCAGTCTCTTGAAGTTAGTTGGGAGCACTGAAGCAGTCCAGCTGTATAAAGGGCATCGTGTGGAGGGAGATGAGCCCTTGTTCAAGCCTTAGAAAGGGACCCTTAAAGTAGTAGTCTACAAAGGTAGATTCTTTTCACTTGGATATTACTGTGTGCTTAAAATGTTTCCACTACATTAAGGATTTTTTTTTAAAAGTGGAACGCAGATAGCATTTTTAGTATTATTTTTTCTGTATGGTGATTAGTTTGTTGGTAAGCATTTGTGTAAAACGCGTTCAAGCTTATCACCTTTCCAGTACCTGTGGTCCTGTTCTTAGTACCACAGAGTCCACATGGAAGGTATAAACACTGGATATTAATATTGCTGAGGGCATATAGCCAGGAGTAAGCTGACTGGAACTCTTCAGTGGTGGAGAAGAAACAGCACAAAGGCACTTGCCATTTTCATAGTGATTAGAGAAAGAAACCTTTTACGTTTGTCTGGATTGAGTGAACACTCTTCTAAGAGGAGCTTCTGAAGTAAATGCAAAGGAAAAGAGTTGACTATTTTTATAGCATATTTAATATATTTGTATATAACTATGAGTATAGTAGGAACCCTCCACCTGCCTCCCACTTTTCTAATCCCCCCCCTTTGCCATAGCCCTAGTACAGCCTCATCCGCATGGGTAATGTGCCTATTGTCAGCCTACCTACCAAAAGATAGTGCTGCTGCTTTCTGAGACAGGTGAGACCAGACTCTCATGCCTGGGGATCCTTTATGGGAGGAATAGCACACACTTAGATCAACATACCACAGTCTAAAAGCATCATTTTGAAAGGTAATAAAGCACTTTATTGCAATTATTCATTTAGATAAAGTTTGTATCTTAGGCATTAACCATTTTTAAAGGATCCCCTAATCATCACTTAGGTGAAATTATAAATGACACATTTCTGAGAAATGTTTAGATCCAGTGAACCGTAGCAGGTTTATGGGAGTGATTTCAAGGTAGCCAAATAAACTCTGACTTTTGTTTTGAATGTGGTGGAGTCAGGAGATTATAGATGCATAGTTCATTTAAACACTATTGTAAACCTATCTTGCCTATTGTGTGGACACCAAAAGAGACCAATGAGCCTGTTTGTTTTCAGAGGTCTAGGAAAATATGCATCTGTCTTGAGTAGATACACAGAACTAATCTATCAACGGTTGGTAGTAATATTTTAGGATACGGTAATTTCAAGAATTATTGAGTGTTTTAAATGTGCCCTGAAATGTTGGCATGTCATTTCAGCGTTCCCACTTGAGTTGCTCTTGTAATATTTTTGCACAAAAAAGACTGAGAATGACTGCTTTGGTTGAAGAAAACTATAATTTGGTCTTATTTTAATGTCTCCTGTGGAAACACCGGAGGTAAATTTTGTTGGTAGACTTACTAATTCAGGATATTTCAAACAGTGTTGAATAGCTCACCAGAAATTATGCAAAAGTATATATTTAAAAATTAAAATTCTTTTTCCCACGTGACTGTTTGCATATTTTTTCTGTTGTCATAACACTACATTCCTTGTTTTCCCGAAATAATAATACTTTGAAAGATGAGTATTTAACAATACTTTCTAAGTTGCTGGGTTTTCCCAGAAAAATGTTCTAGAGAAATAGGTTGTATTTGTATATAGTTTGTGGAGACTATTGAGACCCCATCAACACCACCAGCAAACACTGAGGTGCTGAACTAAGCGACAATCACCATAGGAAGTAGTTATAGGAGGTCTTAGAAGTGGTTGGAAGGAACTTGTTCCGAACGCAGTTCTCTGGGTTTCTTAAATAAAATGGCTATGTATTTATTTATATTTGTTTATCTACATTTGGTCTCCTGTATTTAATTTATGGTCAGTTTTGTTTTGCATCATTATCTTGTTCTTGGGTCTTATTTGGGGCAGCAGCTGTTACCCTGCCCCCAGTGACTCTACACTGACAGAAAATTGAAACCCATTGTACATCAGGATGGCAGTGGTGGGTCAACCTGGACATCCCTGCACTTCCTCCTGCTCTGAACTCATTTTAAGAAAAAATTTTCAAAGGTAACTCCTTTCAGCTCTGCTTTATTACATCACTCCAACCTTTCTCTAGTGTCACTTGTTGCCGTCAGTGTTTCATGGGCACTTTGTATATGGTACTTCCCCGACACAGTCAAAGGCCAGTATGACCGAAGCAAGGGCACATGTTACACGCTGCCTTTGTTTTACCCATCTGGGTAAATGCTAGCAAAATAGGACCTTTTAATGGCTGGCATCATTATTTCCATATATTGAGTCCATACAAATAGTTACACAATGTATGCATACTGAAAACTCTTTAAAAAGTTAAAGATTATCTTTAAATTTCCATAGCCAGCACTGACTAGTAAAGCGGTGCTTGAACATGGGAGGCCTCGCTCCGTGAGGATCCATCCTGTTCACCTGACCTGTGGGATATAGTCCTCCCATAGTACTCTCATTGTGGCTTTGAGTCCCACAGGTAGGGTCGAACTCACAGGGACCCCTTGGAGAACAGTAGTTAAAATACAATCAGGCAAACTGAGTTTAATTCTGTAAAAGATGTTTAACTCTGAGGAGAGTAAGTTGAAAATACACCATTTTTAGATACATGCTTTTAAATCAGAGAAAACAAACTGTGACATTGCTTTAAGAAATGACATTCAAATTGTTTGTGTTTGAGTACTCGTTCAAGTTTATTGCTGACAATGGTTTTAAGAATACGACAAACCTAAAATATAGGAAAAGCTGTTATCTTGAAGTTGACACCTTCAAGCAAAAACATTACCCTCAAAAAGTTCCTGATTAAACACTGGATGTATCAGCCAAAACAACTGGAATTTTGAAACCATTCTAAAGTTATTTTGAAATCTATTTTATTGTGGCTTCAGCTGGGGAAAGCTCTAATATAGCACTTTCACATTCACCCTGTGTAAGGAGTGAAGCCCAAAGACAAGTTCAGTTAGTGCTGTATTAAAACCAGTTAGTGCAAAATATATATATATATATATGTGTGTGTGTGTGTTTTATCTTTGTAAACTTTGTTAAATCAGTTAGTGGTTGTATAAACATGCACCAGATTCTTTGCTGTTCTCTGTGGTTCTTGCTGTGCTGTTCTTGACATTGCTGTCCTTACTGCTTGGTTCTGGGTTTAAATGAAAACAGTAGACATAGCTCATCATTTCCGGCTCTCGAGGGAGAGATACACACGGCTGCTGACCTCCAGATAAGAACACTCCCCCCCTCCAAGTAAACAGTTCATTGAGATAAATTCAGTTATTAGAAAAGACTGGCATTCTTTCAGGTATTACCCTTTTGCCAAAACCCTAAACTCCACAAACTATGGATAATGAATGGTTTCAATGGTGCTATATTAGGTTCCCTGGTTTTCATAAGCTACATTTGGAAAACAGTATTGACTAAAATATGGACTCCTATTACCAGCTGAATATTGCCATTTTAGTTGAGTTTGATACAATTGGTTATCCTTGGTTATCAAAGTTACTTCTTAAGAGGTAAAACTGTGTTGCCAGCATGCCTTCACTCAGGCTTCTTACTGTATGAGCACAGGCTCTACCTACATCTCCATGTACTATCAGAACGCTCTTTTCCATAGACACCTGTAATGTATTCAGAATCAAAAATTACAACAAAAGAGCCAAGCAGTAGCAATGGACTTTCTGTTTTTGTTTTAATGTCAAAATAATTAGATCCAAACTTTGTTTCCTTCAGTTTTAAAAATAAAGAATACCTCAGTGCTGCTTCTCAGTATGAATTACCTGCTTTCTGTGGACATAACATGTAAGAGTCACATTTGATTTACAGAAAGACTATTAAATGTTTTTAAATCTGTCAGTGACATTTTCCTTTCTTTCTTCAACAGTGGGGCCTAATTGTGCTAGCAGTGTTTGCCTTGTAGCTTACATTTTAATTACCACTTAGAGAGACAATGTCCTTCTGGTACAAGACTGCTTTCTCAGCAGTTATGCTCAGTGCTCACCTCACCCAGGCCTGGGGCTCCACTGCTGCCTGCTTTCCACAGCTGCATGCAGTGTGGGACAGGATGAGGGTTTCTCTAGCTCAGTAAATACATTGTTCTATCATGTTCCACACAGGGTTACCTGAACATTTCCATAAAGGAACCAGCCTTCACACTTAAAGATACTATTAATGGCAGTGCTCCCACGTTACACTAGAATACACGTTGGAAGCACAGTATCGTCAGAACACACTCTTGAGTGACTACTGAGGTTGCTGTGATCAAGGGATGACTTCAGACTCTGAAATAAACTGCATAGTAGTTCTTGGAAATAACAGAATGTAAATAAAATAAATAGGAAATACTACTACTACTACTTTGGTAAGTTATAAAGTATTTTGTATAACACACAAGGAAAACCAAGTACTAGTCATACCACTTTTATTTACATTGTATCTGTTACATTGTTTATTCAGTATAGAAAAAATAGGAATACATTTATAGTATTCGCTTTTAACTTGGTAAGTCCATGTTGTCAAATATTGACTATTTTTATATTGGGTGTCTTAACCCAATTAAAAAAAAATAGGAGGGAGAATGGACCTAGCCAACAACTCTTATGGCATGTTACTAATACAACAGTAAACCTTATTTCTCTCTTTAATCCTAATTCCCAAAAGACAAAACTACTGATTACTATACTGGCTCAGGAATATGGTTTTAAAAGTAGAAATATTTCATTTTCCCCCCAAGGAAATGTTTAAGGTATATATATATATATATATATATATATATATATATATATATATATATATATATATATATAAACATCCCAGTGTCCAAGGAGAAATTGTATTTATAAAAGGGTCATGCTGCAAAAAACCTCAAGTGGACACACGTAGCAGAACAGACCTAAGGGCTGAGGTGTTAACATAATTAGGCTGGAGAAAAAACCCACACTTAGAAGTCAGACTTCTAAATTCTTTACAACTAGAATCAATGATTATCTCTTTTGGACATAATACTTCATTAAATGGGTCAAACTTACAAATTAATACTACAAAATACAGTGTTTTCCATTACTTTTAGTTGTAATGTACACTATGTACAGAAAGTTGTATATCTTAAGCTGAGTACACATGAAGAGCTTTTTAAAAACCAGAGTCTGGACTTATAAATAGTGCAGAAAATGCAAACGCCAGGAAAACGATGCCTCCTATGATTGTCACTGGAAAAGAGAGAGAGGTGAGTGAGGCGGCATGTCTTCCACCGTGACACTGCTAACAAACCGTTTGTTCTCCACTCTCACACGACTAAACTGTCAGTGGCCCAGCATTCCTGATTCTCATTCTTACCTGACAAGCAGAACTTTCTTCGCACACTACTTAGAGCAAGAATTAAGTGAAAGTGTTGGCAAGCAGCAGTTGTATAAATCAGGGCAGTAGGATGGCTTAGCATATAAAGGTGCTGTTGCCAAGCCTGACAGATGATGCCCACAAGCGTCAGACCCCAAACCGCCTTCAAAGGCTGAAAATGGTGGAGCTGGGCGGTGGTGGCACATGCTTTTAATCCTAGCACTCGGGAGTAGAGGCAGGCCAACCTCTGTGAGTTCAAGGCCAGCCTGGACTACAAGAGCTAGTTCCAGGACAGCTAGGGCTGTTAGAGGGGAACCCTATCTTGAAAAAAAACAACAAAAGGTTGCAGATGGTCAAGTCTCACACAGGACCTGCCTATCATAAACATACTTCAGGCCAGTGGGTTTTTCACTGGCTTAGAAGCTGAGTTTGGCCATGTTTTGGTAAATTTGTAATTTAACTAATTTGTATACATGAGAAAAGTCAGTTTGCAGAAGCAGGTAATGTACACACAGGTCTAAGTGATGAGCATGAAGACCAGGTGGTCTCTAGAGAGATGAGCAAAGCTAGCATGCCATTTCTGTTATGTCTGATTTTCAAGCATTAGAACACGTTTGCATTTTAATTAAAGAGACCTTACCTGTTCTAACAGATATTTTTTGTGCTATCATCCTTCCTCCAATTACTGCCAATCCAGTGCATAAACAGTGTCCCACTGTTCCACCCACTGCTACACCATAGGGATCCTGGAAGCAGATGGAGCTAGTGTTAATTTAAGTTGGAGATGCTGTTTGAGAAACATCAGTATTAAGTAGAACTGAAAATGGATCATGAACCACATAGCATCATAAACACTTAGAAAAGTCCAGATACGCTCTAACTTTATGAAACAGAAAATCGCTGCTTCAAGGAATGTGGACAATACAAGGCTAGATCTGAATACTGAAATCCTGTATGGTACAATATTGTTGTGTTCCTGAGAGCAGAAATCCTGCCTTTGTGGATTTAGCTCAAAGTAAGGAATAAATACCAGAATGAGCTAGAAGGTAGCAAATTGGGGGAGCAGTGAAAGCCCCCAGAAAAGACAGCCCAGGAGAATAAGTAAGAACCCCATGTATCTCTCGGGGAAGAGGAACAATAGAGCACTGGAGGAGGCCTGCGGAGTATGTCAGGAAGGCTGAGAGCCAGGGATGGAGTGTAGGCTGGCACCTGACTTCTGTTTCAGAGGCCAAGGTTCAGTCCCTAGCTACAAGGGATCCCTATGAACACTTCCCTGTCTTGAGATACTGACTGGTTTTAACACAAGTGGGTTTCTGCTTTCAAAGGAGAAACAGTGATGCCTCGACTGGGGCAGGAGACGAAGACGAGAAAAGCAGGTGAGTGGAAACGCACATGGATGCCACGAAGGCATCAGGTGTGACAACTAGTAACTGAATAGACATGGTAACACTGGTGTGATAAGACTGGAGGACAGTTCAGCAGTTAGTAATATTCGTTGCTCTTCTTGAGGACCAGAATTCTTTTTTATTATGTCGGGTGGCAGGCACACTACTGCCTGTAACTCGGTTTCCAGGGAATTCAGTGCCCTCTTCTGGCTTCTACAAGCACCCACATACACGTTGTCATACACAGGCTCACAATACATTAAATATGTTTTTAAAGGAGCAGAGGAATGAATTATGGGAGCTGGCAAGTGAAAAGTAGGGTGTATTCAGCTGAAAGCTAGGCACAGCACACTTGTAATCTCAATTCAAGGGAGGCTCAGGTAAGAGGACTGCCTGAGGTTCAAGGTCAGCGTTGGTTAGCTAAAGCAATTGTCCTTTATAAAAAAGGCCAAATTTGATAATAACATCACCTGAGGGAGCACAGAAAAACTCATAGGAAAAAAGTATGGACAAGTTGACCATGATGTAATTAACAGGATGAAAACTACCCAGTAATTGGCCTCAACAGGTGAACATCTGTGATGTCCGATAAACTGGGAAAGGCAACTTAAGGATGGTGAGTTTATTTGGGTTCACAGCTCAAGAGAACAGTTCATCGTGGTAGACGGTAAGAAAGCAAGAACTTGAGGCAGTGGTCACTAGTATCCACAATTAAGAAGCAGTGATGAATGCTTGTGTCCAACTCACTTCCTCATTCCTAAACCAGGGAATGGTGCCTCCACCCCCAAGTAGGATCTTTCACCCTAATCTAGTCAACATAATTCTCAGGTGACTCTAAGATCTCAAGTTGATAACAGATTAACCTCCCACCCTGTGAGGTGAGCAGTTGGGTGGTGGTAGAGTGGTCCTCTTAACCAACCATAACCATGCTCCCGAACTCTGGAAATCCAGTGAGGTAAGCGACAGGAGGACCCTAAAGACAGTGGAGGGAGTAATGCAAAAATGCTCCAAAAACTCAGCTAGGAGAAAGGTGAGAAGGTGGGCGCCATGAAGGCATCAGGTGGGGTCCAAGACTGCACTGTGGTTGCTGGGGGTGAAGAAAGCTGAGCAACAGGTCAGCAGCCAGCTGCTGGGAGTGAGAAGGTAGCATGTATAGTCAGGACTCAGACAGCCTGACATGGACCAGAGAACGCACTACCACCAAACTGCTACCCCAGACAACTGCCTCATTCCATGTGAAAATAAAATGGTACTTAAAAAAAAAAAGATCAGTGGGTTAAATAAAGTCATTTTAACAAAGACTGAAAAAATGCTCCTTTAAAAGCCAAGCCACATGATTTACACAGAGACGGAGAGTAGTGCTGACATGGAGTGCTGTGTTGGGAGCTGCTAAACACCCTATGTATCCCACACAGTGGTAACTGCAGGTACCAGCTGACCCGCAGAGCTTCCACCACAGCTCATTTTCAAGGCCCAATTCTGACATCCAAGAGGAGGCAGGACATAGCCATTAAGGAGCATTTTAAAAGGTTGTTTTATGAGAATCAAATAATAAGAGATCCTTTCCCATCTCTAAATAAAGCATTCTTAGGCTTCTTTCCGTGTAATCTCAGTCCTGGCCTGGAAATGCTTTCTATTTTAAGCTGGAGGACTATGGTAAGGAACATTTTTGTTTTTTTTGAGACAGGTTTGTGTTACAGCTCTGGCTGTCCTGGAATTCTCTTTGTAGAACCGGCTGGCCTTGAACCACCAAGATTCCTGCCTTTGCCTCCTGAGTGCTAGGATTAAAGGTGTATGCCCCCTAGGAATGTGATCTTTCAGAGAGACATTCCCAGGATTTAAATGTTTCAGTGTAAAATAATATAACTGATACAAACTTAAGATCAAGAGCATGCAGCTCCCCAGGACATCAGCATCTGTGAACAGAAACTGGCATCTCATAGAAGATGACATCAAACATCCTCCCTCCTCCCAGTAGCAAACTGATAGGTCTTTAAAATATGTGTGCCCAAGGGCACCCGCAGAAGACAGGCTGCCTTCTGGTCCTGACTCGAGCCACCCCACCTCGCGAGTGAAGGGTTGGAAGGTGTCTTCTAACTGCACTGCAGTCATCGGCTTCTAGAGCTGAGGGGACAGAAATGCTCTGCAGACAGTCTGCAGCGTCCCAAGATGAGCACTGCGAGCATTCTGATGTCCTAGATCCTATGTGTTCCTTCCTCTCAATTTCAGAAGTAACCCTCCTTGGGTCAGTGTAAACTCACAGGCAAATGTGCTTCAGAAAACTTCTGAGTCATTAAAGTGATGTTGAAAAATGATTAATCAAAGAGCTGCTCAAAAATGTATGAACAAGTAAGCGAGTTCCCCTCTGTTACATCAAGTTTTGCTATTAAAAATTTTGTTGTTTTAAGACAGTCTCAGTATGTAGCCCAGGCTGACCTGAATTCAAGATCATCTTTGCCAGACTCCCCAGTGCTGGGATTACAAGCAAGTGATATACTAATTTATATTCCCAATGAGCATATAGAGAAGACACGAAGGGAGAGCCAGGCAACAAAGACAACTGCCACAGCTTTATTTTGGCAAAACACAGGGGACAGACCCAGCAAGATAAAAAGAAAAGAACAATTAAATTTGAGTTCAAGACGTACAGACATGGAGAAAGTTTGGAAGGCTAATTCCAGGTCATAAAATGAACAGATGTGTCCAACTTTCAGCATGGGTAGTCAGCCTGTGGCCTACTTGCCCACTGGTGTGGAACAGTGTGAACTGTGGTCTTGATACAGAAGCAATCAAACACTACTCACCTCTCTAGCTGCCAGAACAATGGTAGTGAGTTGAGAGCGATCTCCCCATTCTGCCAAGAATGTTAAAGTGAGAGCTTGAACAAAAATGGGTGAAATAAAATGCAACCACTTCTTCTGAGGTATTGTTGTGCTTGTACCACTTTCAACATCTGGTCCATTTAAGAGTTTGGTTCGTTGAAACTGAAACAAATAAAAATTACCATTAACCCTAGTAATTATATCCAAATAACATAAAGTCACTCAACCCTTTCAATGCATTTAATTGCACAGACATTCACTAAAGAAAATATACTCTGCATCCTGACTGCCCCTTAGCCACCAACCTCACATGGTATATCAGCTTTCCCACTCCAACAAAACCAAACAGTATGCAGATGCATAAGAAACACGTAGAACTAACAGTTCCCAGAACCCAGACACTGGCCATCAGCCTAAAGCATTTTCCTCCCTGCCACATTCACAGTAACCTAAAAGCACATCAAAGCCAAGTTCTAGGAGTGGAAACTAATCAAGTTCACCCACACATAAAGCAGGGCTGTGTCCCGAGTGCCTTTGGCATGTACCAGTGACAACTTACTTCTTCATCCTTCTTCTTTAACTCTGCCTGAACTTCTTCCAGCTCCTCCTGACCCTCATCTGGGCTCATCTTCAAACCTTCCCGAAGCATTCTAATGCCAAAAATGGCAAAGAGTGCAGTTGAAACATAGTAGGTATACACCCTGGGGATGACTGTTGTGGCATAGCCGAACAAAACTGTAAGGAAATGCCAACAGTGTTAGGTGTCTTCCACAGCAGGTAAACTCAAAGAAATTGTAACGTACTTTGTTGAAGGAGAGCTGGTTCACATTAGACACATCAGCTATGTAATACTTCTGCTTCTTTCTTTCCAGAACTGAGTTTTGAGAATGTCAAAGCTCACTGGCTTTCCATGACGCCCACATCTGCCACAGGGACCTTTAAGATGTTGACCTCCTCTCCAGTCATGCTCAACTAGAGGCTGGCTTCCCACTTACATCTGTGCTGGGCACAGTACTTGAGCCAGGTGGACTGATGTCCTTCAAGAAGTTCAAGATTTTATAAACTGGAAGCCACATACCACTCTATAAATAGGTGCCTCTTTGTCACGGATCTTTAAAAGATCAAGAATCATGACAATTCTTTTTTTTTTTTTTTTTTTTTTTTTTTGGTTTTTGGTTTTTCGAGACAGGGTTTCTCTGTAGCTTTGAAGCCTGTCCTGGAACTAGCTCTTGTAGCCCAGGCTGGTCTCGAACTCAAAGAGATCCGCCTGCCTCTGCCTCCCAAGTGCTGGGATTAAAGGCGTGCGCCACCATCGTCCGGCATGACAATTCTCTTATAGCACAATTCACACTGTTCCTTTTTAACTATGTAAATTTAGCATATCTTATGAAATACTAAAAATTCCTTATAGGTATGTGTAGAAATACCAATATGACATATATTTTCTATCCTTTGCCTACTGAAAGGGCAAAGAAACAGACGTTTTGGTAACAAAGCATTCCTGGGGAATGTCCGAGAAGAGGCTGACCCAAGCACAAGATGCACCTGGTATTCCTACAAGGTAAGGAAGGGCAAGAAGCTGCCCCAGAACAAAGACAGCAGCTAGATAGGCTCCCACAGGCCAGCCTGGACAATGTGGTCAATGAACACCTGGAGAAGGTGCATGAGCATAAGAGTGGGAGGAAGGAGCGCAAGGCCGAGCTCACTCGTGGAGAACAGAAGCCAGAGTTAAGCTACCATTCTGAAAGCATTAAGGGAAAACATGCGAGAATTATACTACATCTCTGGGGAAATGTCAGTAAAGAACAAGTTATAAATTGTTACAGTGTGTCCCCACAGGCTGGATATTAGCTCCAAGAGAACACTAAGAAAAGAAATCCTGAACTGGACAAGTCAAACTACAATGTCACTGAGGAAAAAAAAAATGGATGCCATGTGCTTCCATGAGATACTCTTCTGAGGACACAGGGACACTCATGGGCTTCTGGCTAAGAAGATGAACTTGAGTTTAACCATGTGCAAACATCCCCCATGAAAGAGGAAAAAACACAGGGTATGGGCTTCCCCCACCACACACCCTGTGTCCCCAACAGCAATTGGGAGAGAGGGGCCTGCACCTTGCCTATGCAAAACAGTAGTGTGAAGAAGACCTGAATCTGAGGGCAGCACTGACCCTGCTCCTTGCTGCAGGCTGCACTGGTGAGCTAGCCACGACAGTTCAGATCGTACGGACAGTGACCATGAGGGAAAGCTGGCAGACTGGCCAGGCTGACCAACCCAGCTCTCAACCCAGATCCAGAACCAGGGCTATGTGTTGGCTCACCCCAACATCCACCTCATCTGTGAACCATTGGAACATATGGAGGGGACGAACCTACAGACCCAAAACAGCAGGATCTCCATGACACAGGACAACAGAATGTCCAAGAGGAGCCCCAGTGAGAGCCCAGCAGTGTAGAGGAGCCCCAGTGAGAGCCCAGCAGGGTAGCAGAGCCCAGTGAGAGCCCAGAAGTGTAGAGGAGCCCCAGTGAGAGCCCAGCAGGGTAGCAGAGCCCCAGTGAGAGCCCAGCAGGGTAGCAGAGCCCCAGTGAGAGCCCAGCAGTGTAGAGGAGCCCCAGTGAGAGCCCAGCAGGGTAGCAGAGCCCCAGTGAGAGCCCAGCAGGGTAGCAGAGCCCCAGTGAGAGCCCAGCAGGGTAGCAGAGCCCCAGTGAGAGCCCAGCAGTGTAGAGGAGCCCCAGTGAGAGCCCAGCAGGGTAGCAGAGCCCAGTGAGAGCCCAGCAGGGTAGCAGAGCCCCAGTGAGAGCCCAGCAGGGTAGCAGAGCCCCAGTGAGAGCCCAGCAGGGTAGCAGAGCCCCAGTGAGAGCCCAGCAGGGTAGCAGAGCCCCAGTGAGAGCCCAGCAGTGTAGAGGAGCCCCAGTGAGAGCCCAGCAGTGTAGAGGAGCCCAGTGAGAGCCCAGCAGTGTAGAGGAGCCCCAGTGAGAGCCCAGCAGTGTAGCAGAGCCCCAGTGAGAGCCCAGCAGTGTAGAGGAGCCCCAGTGAGAGCCCAGCAGTGTAGAGGAGCCCAGTGAGAGCCCAGCAGTGTAGAGGAGCCCCAGTGAGAGCCCAGCAGTGTAGAGGAGCCCCAGTGAGAGCCCAGCAGGGTAGCAGAGCCCCAGTGAGAGCCCAGCAGGGTAGCAGAGCCCCAGTGAGAGCCCAGCAGTGTAGAGGAGCCCCAGTGAGAGCCCAGCAGTGTAGAGGAGCCCAGTGAGAGCCCAGCAGTGTAGAGGAGCCCCAGTGAGAGCCCAGCAGTGTAGAGGAGCCCCAGTGAGAGCCCAGCAGTGTAGAGGAGCCCCAGTGAGAGCCCAGCAGGGTAGCAGAGCCCCAGTGAGAGCCCAGCAGTGTAGAGGAGCCCCAGTGAGAGCCCAGCAGTGTAGCGGAGCCCAGTGAGAGCCCAGCAGTGTAGAGGAGCCCCAGTGAGAGCCCAGCAGTGTAGCGGAGCCCAGTGAGAGCCCAGCAGTATAACTGAGCCAGACCAATGACTCGCGGCAATGAACACTTGCAAGTAAAGATGAGTGAATTAAAGGGTAAACTGCGGGACTCGGCAGGCCTTCTTTTTTTTCCTTTCAAATTTGGTTTTATTTTGGAGGGAGATTGCAAGGGCAGAGAGTGGATGCAACAGGACAGGGAGATAAGTGGGATCGGAATGCATGATGTGAAATCCACAAAAAAAAATCAGTAAAAGTTAAAAAAAAAAAGTACTATGTGTAGTATGTCTAAGTACATTCTATTTGCCTAAAGATACAGAAAGTATATAAACATGCCCAGGTTATTTACACAGATTGGCCACAAATGCTAAAGCAACAGGGTAAGATGCTAACAGTCAGTGCACCTGAGCAAGAGCACTACACCAGTGTTCACTGCACCCTCTCATCTGTGCAGCTTTACATATAAAATTACTTAAAATGGGTAAATCATTTATTGTGAAAGCATGAGGACCTGAGTTCAAATCCCCAGAACCCACATAGAGCCAGACACAGCAGCATACATCTGTCATCTCAGTGCTCACATGGGGCAACGGGAAATGGGAGTCAGAAGCAGGAGAGGCTCCAGGAGCTCATGGGCCAGCTAAACTCGTATACACAGCTGTGAACATAGGCAGAAGGCGAGGACCAAAATCACTCTAGACTGTTCCCTTACCTCCATACATGTACTGTGCAGATATCCACACTCAACAAGCACAGGCATACAAGACAGAATAGGAAAATAAAACTACTTCCATAAAAAATATTAAGTGCTGAAATAAAATGTAGAAGACCCTTTGAAATCTTCCAAACTTAATTCTTCTTTTCTCCCCAGATACAACATTCTCAAATCCAGTGCGGGCCTAGAAACCCACATCCGTCCAAGACCTATACACTGTCTTCTGGAGGCCCGGAACCGAGAAGCACATACACAGCACTACGGGGTGCTTTAGCGCCTGCCCTGTAGTCAAGTTAACAGCAGTTTCAGAACAACTGTGTTAGCACACCAGAGGTCTGAAGATGAAGGCTTTCAGTTATGAGAGGAGAGTCCGATGAGGAAGTGACACAGGAAGACACTTCCCACAGACTTCCAACTCTTTACATGTCTCCTCCACAGCACACAGGAAACAAATAGCATTTAAGATGCCACTGGGTAGATCTCTTTGGTTATTTATCTATGTATTTGTTTGATGAGTGTTTGGCCTGCATGCACGGCTGGCACCTGAGGTGGTCAGCAGAGGGTACTGATGACGCCCTGGAACTGTAGTCAGGGTGGCAGTGAGGAGGCTCTGGGTGCTGGGAGCCAAGCCTGGGTCTCTGCAAGGGCGGCCAGAGCTCTCAGCTGCTCGACTTTCTCTCCAGCCTCAGGTTTTATTACTTTAATTTTTTATATGGTTAATATTTTTGGGGTGTGTGTGTGTGTGTGTGTGTGTGTGTGAGTATGAAGTTATGTGCACAGAGAGGCCACAGGAAGACATGGGGGCTCTCTCACTGACCCTGAGGCTCAACAGTTTTACTGTCTCTACTCCACAAAGCTTGGGTTACAGGCACAGGCAGGCAGACGTACCTGGCTTTTTATGTTAGGAATTAAACTCAGGTCCTCATGCTTACACAGCAGTGCTCTCACCCACTGAGCCATCTCTCCAGGACTGCACTGCGCATATTTTACAATACCGTAATTGCTTTGCTGTATACAATATACCAGAAATAACAGCTTTGCAACTCCTGAAATTTAAGTTTGGAAAAATTAATCTATTTTAGGTAAAATCAGATGAAGTACAAAAAAAGATGCTTAGCAGGGCGGTGGTGGCGCACGCCTTTAATCCCAGCACTCAGGAGGCAGAGGCAGGCGGATCTCTGTGAGTTCGAGGCCAGCCTGGTCTACAAGAGCTAGTTCCAGGACAGGAACCAAAAGCTACGGAGAAACCCTGTCTCGAAAAATCAAAAAAAAAAAAAGATGCTTAGGTCCCCATAGAGAGCAGAGCCACCGGGCAGCCCCACAGACGGGAGGACCCGATAGAGACAGCAGAGCCACCGGGCAGTCCCACAGACGGGAGGACCCGATAGAGACAGCAGAGCCATCGGGCAGCCCCACAGACGGGAGGACTCGATAGAGAGAGCAGAGCCATCAGGCAGCCCCCATAGGCAGCAGGAGGTAGGAGAGGCTTAGGGAAGATACCCAGCGGAGGGAAAGGATTAAGCACACATAAGAGCTGGAGAATGGATGGAACTGCATTCTGCAGCATAGAACGGTGCATAAAGACACAGAAATGACGCTGCTAGCATTGTCAATATACAACTGACGGCACTCAGAACATCCCAAGTGTGGCCAAGTTCAACTCTACTTCCTACAATTAATATTACTTCATATAGAATATATGAGATCATATTCACCACTAACTCCTCCCAGGTCCACTCCCATCCTCTCTATACCCCTGACTTCGTGTCCTCTTTCTTTTTCCTTTTTGTTTTTTTAAGTTAAAGAACTAATCAAGATCATATACTCCTGGATATGAAGCCCTTCACTGGAGAATGGTTGACTTACCATGGCCACAATCAAAAAGAAAACTGCCTCTGCCTCCCTAAGAAGCCATCAGCTGTCCAGTTTCAGAGTCTAGGGTGGGGCTCCTGAACTCCTTCCTGGTTTACTCAAGCTACAGTGCAGACAGGCCTACTCTTGTGCCAAGAGTGACAGCTGCTATGAGTCCATGTGTATAGTGCTCCGTCATGTTCAGTGTGCAGTGCTCTGTCATGTCCAGTGTGCAGTGCTCCGTCATGTCCATGCATACATAATGCGTGCAGTGCTTCGTCATGTCCATGCGTGCAGTGCTCCATCATGTCCATGCGTGCAGTGCTCCATCATGTCCATGCGTGCAGTGCTGCGTCATGTCCATGCGTGCATAATGCGTGCAGTGCTTCGTCATGTCCATGCGTGCAGTGCTTCGTCATGTCCATGCGTGCAGTGCTCCATCATGTCCATGCGTGCAGTGCTGCGTCATGTCCATGCGTGCATAATGTGTGCAGTGCTTCGTCATGTCCATGCGTGCAGTGCTTCGTCATGTCCATGCGTGCAGTGCTTCGTCATGTCCATGCGTGCAGTGCTCCGTCATGTCCATGCGTGCAGTGCTCCGTCATGTCCATGCGTGCAGTGCTGCGTCATGTCCATGCGTGCAGTGCTGCGTCATGTCCATGCGTGCAGTGCTCCGTCATGTCCATGCGTGCAGTGCTGCGTCATGTCCATGCGTGCAGTGCTCCGTCATGTCCATGCGTGCAGTGCTCCGTCATGTCCATGCGTGCAGTGCTGCGTCATGTCCATGCGTGCAGTGCTCCGTCATGTCCAGAGTGCAGTGATCCGTCATGTCCACTCTAGTCTTCCCTGACCTCAGGCTCTTACATCCTTTAACCCCCAACCCCCTCTTCTGTGATACGTTACTTCTGAAGAAAAAAACCTATTGCTGCTATAAAATACTAATACCTATACTAATTTTCAAATTGTAAACAGTATTCAAATTATTCTAAATATCTAAAATACTGTGTTTATAAAAACACAAGTTTTAATTAAGAATCAAGGCATCAGAGAATCAGAAATAAACCTTGCTCTACATTTTTTCTTAAGTATTATTTTTTTAAAAAAGAAAACAAACTATCCTTTTTCATTTTATGTACCAATCCCAGTTCCCTTTTCTTCCCCTTCACCCATTCCCTCCACCTTATGTCCCACCCCAGTTCCCATCCACTCCTCAGAGAGACTAAGGCACACTGCTTTGGGGCACGTCCAAGACCCTCCCCATTATATCTAGGCTGAACAATTTATTCATCCAAAGAGAATGGGTTCCCAAAAAGCCAGTACAAGCAGTAAGGATAAATCCTGGTGCCACTGTCAGTGGCCCCACAGTCAGCCCCAGCCATGTAACTGTCACTTACATTCAGAGGGACTAGTTTGACCTATGCTGGTTCCTTCCCTATCTGACTGGTGTTGGTGAGCTCCCATTAGCTCAGGTAAACTGTCTCAGTGGGTGTCACCATTATGGTCTTAACCTCTTTGCTCATATTCTCACTCCTCCCACTCTTCAACTGGACTCCACTGCGTGTCTCTGCCTCTATTTCCATCTGTTGCTGGATGAAGGTTCTATGGTGACATTTAAGATATTCATCAATATGATTACAGGGCAAGGCCAGTTCAGGCACCCTCTTCTCTACTGCTTAGGGTCTTAGCTCAATGCATGGGCACAGGAGACCACGCCCTAAATATAACACCAGTAGCACAGACTCTGAGAGCAACAATAAATAAATAGGACCTCAGGAAACTGAGAAGTTTCTGTAAAGCAAAGGACACAGTCAGTAAGACAAAAAGGCAGCCTACTGAATGGGAAAAGATCTTCACCAACCCCACATCAGATAAAGGACTGATCTCCAAAATATATAAAGAACTTAAGAAATTAGACATCAAATTCCAAATAATCCATTATAAAAAACGGGATATAGAACTAAACAGAGAATTCTTAACAGAAGAATCTCAAATGGTTGGAAGACACTTAAAAATATTCAACATCCTTTGCCATAATGGAAAAGCAAATAAAATGACTCTGAGATACTATCTTACATCTGTCAGAATGGCTAAGATCAAAAACACCAATAATAGCTTATGCTGGAGAGGATGTGGAGTAAGAGGAACACGCCTCCATTGCTGGTGGGAATGCAAACTTGTACAACCACTCTGGAAATAAGTATGGCGGTTTCTCAGAAAATTGAGAAATCAACCTACCTCAGGACCCAGCAATACCACTCTTGGGCATATACCCAAAGGATGCTCAATCATACTGTAAGGACATTTGTTCAACTATGTTCATAGCAGTATTACTTGTAATAGCAGAACCTAGAAACAACCTAGATGCCCCTCAACTGAAGAATGGATAAAGAAAATATGGTACATTTACACAATGGACTACTACTACTCAGCAGTAAAAAACAATGAAATACTGAAACTTGCAGAAAAATATATGGAACTAGAAAAAAATCTTCCTGAATGAAGTAACCCAGACCCAGAAAGAGGAACATGGTATGTACTCACTCACTCATAAGTGGATACTAGCTGTAAAGCAAAGAATACTGAGCCTATAGTCCATGACTCTAGAGAAGCTAAGTACAAGGTGAACCCTAAGAAAAACATGCATCAATCCACCTGGAAAGAGGAAATAGACAAGATCACCTGACAAAATTGGAAGCACAGGGGTGGGAGAAGGGAGGGCAGAAGGGGAAGAGAAAGGGAGAAAAGGTGAAGTGGAAGGAGAAGGAGAATTTGAGGGAATGGGATAGTCGAGATGGAGGAAGGGCAGAGATGAGAGCAAGGAAAGAAATATTTTGATTGAGGGAGCCATTATGGGGCTAGCAAGAAACCTGGCTCTAGAGAAATACCCAGGAATCCACAAGGACGGCCCTTGCTCTACATTTTAAGAAATTAGTTTCATAATAGCAAGAGGCAAATGGCAAAGCCCTCCAAATAAACTATCTTATCACAATAGAACAGAAACCACTAGGTGGGCAGAAACTATTTTCTGTACTTCACAGAGAGGAAGCTAAAATCCAGGGGTCAGTTAACTTAATTCACTAGGGTATGCCATGGAAGTCAGTCTCAAACCAAGCTGTGGCTCAAAGGGAAATACCATCGTCTAACACACTGTGGTGGCCTGAGGTAGCTCTCACATAGCAACTAAATACAGCTCGGTTGAGTGATAAATTGACTTTCTTGTGGTCTAACATCTTAGAGCCTATAAAGCAGTAAACCGAACCGTAACATAATCAAGAAGGTTAAAGAATGCTTCATTTCCCATAAGCGGGGTAAGAAAAAGATTAATAAAAACAAATGAAGACTGCTTCTCAGTGCTACCACCCACTGTGCCTCAGGAAGTAAGCACGCAGTTTTCTGTGGCCTCTTGAACCCCACTTCTAAAACTACAAGTATAAATGAACTTATCTGGACAGAAGAAAAAAAAAAACCTGAACTCGAATACAATTAAAAAATTAAGAATTAAGGCTAGAGTGATTAACAGTGCTTGTTGCTCTTGCAGACCCAGGTTCGGCTCCTCACACCCACACGATGGCTCACTACCATCTGATACCCTCTTTCTCAAGTCTGCAGGGACCAGACACACTCATGGTGCAAAACACATGCAGACAAAACACTCATACACACAGAATAAGTCAATTTAAAAAATAAATAAAGATTGCCAGGCTGCGGTGGCACACCTTTAATCCCAGCACGTGAGAGGCAGAGACAAGCGGATCTCTCTGAACACAAGGCCAACCTGATCTACAGAGCAAGCTCCAGGACAGTTAGAGCTGTTACAGAGAAAACTGTAAAATAAATGAATGAATACATAAAAATTAAGGGCAAAAGCCACCAGTGAATAAATGACAGGAGTATGTATCTTGGCTCTGAATAGCTAAAACTTCCATTTAAGAAGTAAAATCTAGGTTTTAATAATGTATATCCTGAAACCATTTGCTCATTTGTTGTTTACTAAAGTCTGGGGATAAGCAGATTTCAATGTAACTGGGTGATACAAGACACATATCATGTTCCCTAGGAAAGCACCCTTACCCGACAAGCATGTCATCAAGGCCAAGGCAAGCATGGCACCAGCCAGCACAGTCAGCCGGTTATAACGCATCGCCATGATGGCTGCTATGAAAAATGTCTTGTCGCCGAGTTCAGACACTATGATGACTGATATGGCAGCGACAAATGCATGGATAAATCCCAGATTCGTCTGGGTGGCTGCATCTTCTCTGTTGGTATGAACTGGGGCGGCTGGTGTAAGTCCTTTCTGAAAATTAAAGAAAAAAAAAACAAACAAGAAAATGTTTAAGTCATTTAACTGTCATTCTCTTAAATGAGAATTATTTTTTGTCATAGCCATTGCACTAATTTATTGCTTTAAAATTCTGAATGTCATTAGTGATAGCAGTAGCCCATAATTCAGCTCTCTATACAGATCAATTTAGAAGAGTACATTATGTCTTGACACCGTAATTACCTTATTTTCTAAGTAAGTGTTAGAGCCAATTCACTGCTGTCTCGTTCAAGTTCTCACTAGTAATTCAGGTGAAGACTCAGGTGTTTATCAAACATTCTCTGACATGAGGCTGACAAGACCTATCACTAACACTGTAAAGGCCTATACGGGATACAGGAAGCTCTCAAAGGCTACAGTCAGAGCTGGCTGCAGCTAAGATGAGGTTTAATATAGCTGGATGTGTAGATGGTCCTGTGATGAACTCTAAAAATATCCTGGAAGGTTATCTGATAAAAAAAAAAAAAACAGAGCAGTCTTGGTGGATAACAACCTAACAGTATGAGAAACTTCATTGGCCTTCCCCAAAGTTGGCTAGAAAGTTCCAAAGCCCTGCCCTTTAAGAAGGCACTGACTTCTGTCTGAAGGTCATCAGAAATGGAGAGATTCGAAACCCAGGGCCTAGCAAGCAAGAAGAGGCAAACTCTGCTTGTTCAGTTTGTTTGCTTGCTTTTATTTATTTATTTATTTATTTATTTATTATGTATACAATATTCTGTCTGTGTGTATGTCTGAAGGCCAGAAGAGGGCACCAGACCTCATTACAGATGGTTGTGAGTCACCACATGGTTGCTGGAAATTGAACTCAGGACCTTTGGAAGAGCAGGCAATGCTCTTAACCTCTGAGCCATCTTTCCAGCCCCTGTTCTGTTTTAAGAGATCATAAAAAAGGAAAAAAGGAAGGGAGGGTGAAGAGAAAACCTGTAAAGGATGGTTACAGAGCAGGGGTTTTATGCAGCCAGCACAGATGTGAAATCTAATACTGTTAGTTCCTGACTTGCTACTGAGACGCTAAGGTAATCAGATGAATACCAGGAAGGACAGTGTGTCTCGGTTTCAGTAACTGGGAAAGTTTTCATGTGGCTCTAGCTATGCTATATGTAACATTTTCCACTGTTATTGTGTACACTATTCCTCAATGAATGACATAAATTTGACTTCAGCTGCTACAGGGAACATTAGACTGTAAGAGTGGCGCAGACTAGGGGAGACCTCTGAGCCAAAACAAGGAAACCCTCTGTGGTCCCCGCAGTCAGCAAGCACCGTGCTACAGGTTCTCTCCTTCAGCACCTTAGTTCTAGTTACACTCCTTTAAAATAAGCTTATACCTGGCCCAATAAATAGTCTGTGAGCATGAAGCTTTCCAGGAGACATAGGCACTTCAACTAGGACGTCCCAAACACATAACTTTCCTGCTGGAACCCCACCCTTCTTCCCCACACTACCCTCCTTATGAGACAGAGTCTGGAAGTCACCATCTTGTTGCATCATCATCCTCCTAAGTCCTGGGGTTAATTACAAGCACCAACCACCACATAGCTAGATTTTTTTATATAAAAAGACTTCACAAAACTTCAGGATCTTAAGTCCAAAAAAAATTTCAGGAGTAATATACAGCACTTAAGATCATTGGCTCTAAAGCTCAAAAAAGAGAAAATTTTGCATTTTAAATCAAATAACAGTAGAGATAAGCGCTTCATATTTTCATGGCTTTCTAAAACTTAAGTCCTTGGCCAGGTTATTTAGTCTGTTCTCCTATGAAATAAAGAATCAAGTTTGCCTAGAGAATACACTAAAGGGGGAGCTGGCTGGAGAGATGGCTCAATACTCTGCGAGAGGACTCAAGTTTGGTCCTCAACATCTACACAAGGCATCTCAAATCAACTCAAGGGATCAGACACCCTCTTCCGGCTTCCACAGGCACGAATGGGGCATACATTCACTCTCTCATAATACTTTTAAGGGGGCTGGAGAGATGGCACAGAGGTTAAGAGCATTGCCTGCTCTTCCAAAGGTCCTGAGTTCAATTCCCAGCAACCACATGGTGGCTCACAACCATCTGTAATGAGGTCTGGTGCCCTCTTCTGGCCTGCAGGCATACACACAAACAGAATATTGTATACATAATAAGTAAATAAATAAATATTTAAAAAAAAAATACTTTTAAGGGCGAGTCCGGCATATGGCTTAGTGAGTAAAGGTCCTTGTGGCCAATCTGACTACCTAAGTTTAACGCCCAAGACTCAGGGTGGAAGGAGAAAACCAACTCCTCCAAGCTACCTTCTGACCTCTATGCATATGTGCATGTCCACACACACACAGATGTATGTAGGTACACACATACATAGATGCATAAAAATAATAAAAAATTAAAATGAAACAAAGTAAAACAAACACAATCCTCCATATTCTCAAAACTTTTCTACACAGAAGACTAAAAGTTTATTAAGTCAGTCCTGGATGGCCAAAACTGAAGGATCAGGATGCTGTGAAGACAACAGGATTTTTAAGAATCAAGTATTGCAGATGTCCCATTTGGCACGGGGCCACCCAGTCACTTATTCTCTGTCCAGTTCAGTCTCTGCAATGGTCTCTGTCCTACGGAAAGGGCTCTTTGCTGAGGGTCAAGCTGCACTGACCTGTGCATGGCAGGTTAGTATTAGAACTGCAGACAACAGCACTAAGTGGACTCGGTAGGTTCAGCAGTCAGAGAGGGTAGAGGGAGAGGTAGAATTATGCAAATACAATAGACTCCTATGTGAAAATCTCCATTTCTTAAAACATGAACTATTAATTGAATCAGAAAATGATGCATTAACATCTACTGGTTGGTGTGGCCAGCCTTCACTGAGTTAGTAGTGTCTAGGTCCACAGCTCTAGAGCAGACTGTTCACACCCAAAGCATTACCAACATGACCTGACTCAGTCATCCGCCCACTAAGGCAGCCATGGCTCAGAACTGTAGTTTCAGGGAGGTCCTCAGGAGGGGTGGCGCCTGGCATACAACAAGCCCTCAGGACCACACCACAGGACCAGCTCACCAACCTTCCCAGGACCAACTACTCCACGTCCCTTCACTACTCAGCCACTGTTGCTATGCTTCTGTTTATGTTGCTGGTTCAGTTGAAAAGAGGTAGAGGTAGTGTTTCTATTCAGCTGGCCAGAATGGGCCGAGTCTTGGGCAACTGAGAAGAGAAAGAGTGAAGGGGCAGGGAAGAGGCAGAGGCGGGGGTTTCTCTGCAGTAGCTGTGACCCACCTCCATTTTTTATCTTATGCTCTGTTCTTAGTTTTAAAATAAACTTAAAAGAAATCAGTATCACTGTCAAGAGTGTTTCAGGCCTAGAATGTAAACCCTACCTGTATCTATTTAATACTCCTAAGCTAACCACACCAGTTCCCAATATAAACCTTTCTCCCAAAGAACTCAGAATAGCAGTGCTAAGTGCAAAACACCACAAGCTAAAAAATTAGCTCATAATGTACTTTTATATTTTCTGGTTTAAATTACTCATTATACATTATACAAAGTAAAAGCAGGTAAAATTATTTGAGAGATCAATTTAACTCAATGCACCCAATCACCACTAACTTATAAGCAATATTTTTAAATTGCCATGAAGTATTCTAACATTTTTTCATACTACTTTTAAAGTGGTATCCATGTGCTGATTCTTCCTCATGGATCGGTCATGGACAGTGTAGCCTGAGCACTTTCGGGGCTTCTGCTAACTACAGTCTCAGTCACTCAGACTTCCTTTCCCAGTGCTCTTCATTTTGCCCCATTCGTCCGGGCTCCTCAAACCCAGCTAAGAAAATGTCTTGAGCAAGCTTTATCAGGCCTTTAGCCCTTTACACTCCAGGCCCCTGAAATCTAGCCATATTCATACAGTGACAATATACCACAGAAGGGGTGAGAGCCACAAAGGTGAGGCCAGGAACCCTGGGAAGCTGACATTTTTGTAGTGGAAACATATTACTAATGAAATCAAAGAGACAAAGTAACTAAGTGTCCAATCAACAGGAACCTATGAGCGCTACATAAAATATACTGGCTGGCAAGATGGATCAGCAGTAAGGGCACTGACTTCCAAACCTACCAACCTGAGTTCCATCCCTGCGACCTTCAAGAAGAACTTCTTCAACAAGTTGTCCTTTGACCTCCACAAGTGTGATGTGGTCCACATACATTCACATAAACAAACACAGATAGTTGTAATTTAAGAAATTCAAGATTATGAACAAAAATGTTCTATAAATACTAATGTTGAAAAAACTATTAAGATACTTCAGATGAAATCTGTATTACATATGAAGGTAACACATACAGGGAGAAAGGGAGTTATGTACATGATGGTAAATGCACCCCAGATCGCAAGAAACAGTGGGCATTTCCAGAGCCGGAAATCAGAACCAGAATGGCTGAGCCACTTTTCCTTAAAGAGCCAAGTATTTCACAGCTTTGTGGGCTGGATAGTTTTGTGGGAATTACTCAACTCTGCTGCTGTAACTCCAGAGCAGCTGTAAAATACTTTAAGAAATGAAACAGCAGGGCTGTTCCAACAGAACTTCACTCAGAGAAACCAGCCGGTCAGTGGGAATCCAGTCTGTGGAGCCACAGAGTATGAGAAGGCAAAGCGACACCTCGTCCCACACAGCCTTCCGTACCTGTTTCTGCCATCATGACCCAGGTTTGCATCACTTCAAAGACCTTTTTGAAAAATGTATTTTTAACTGTGTGTGTATCCGTGTGTGCGCGAGCAGATGCACATGTGTGAGGACAGGCACCCACAGAATCTAGACAAGGCAGCTGGATCCCTTGGAACTGAAGTCACAAGCGGCTTTGAAGCACCCTTCACGGGTGCTGGGAACCAAACCTGAGTCCTCACAAGGGCAGTACCTTCTCTCAACAGCTGAGTCCCGCCTCCAGTCCCTCCCAAGAACTGTCCCCTGACCTGCTACTCCAGCAGGGCAT